CTGCTGTTAGTGTGTGTGTGTTTGTATATATGTGTGTGTGTGTGTGTGTGAGGGTGGCCAACATGGACAGGCTGCTGACTGGCTACAGTTGCTAAAGGAGAACCCTACGCTGGCCACTTGTGATATTTTAAACATCTGGTATTTTTACATAAATTGATTTAAAAAACAATAATGCGGTGGGTCCACCAGACCACTGAAAACTGAATTATGATGCGTGCTAGTGAGTGTGTATATCAAGTATTTTACAATGGATTGCAATGCGGCTCAGCCAATCAGACTCCAGAACGGGAACTGTCTGTTTCATAACTGATATTCTGATGGATCGTGTTTTTGACTTCAAGCTTGTAGATTAACTATTCATCACAGACTAAAGACTCTCGGTTATTGGTCTGCCAAAATCTGCATTCCCATCTCATAGCAAGTGTGTAAGAATGTAACTAAATAAGCAATATAAGTTGTTCTGAAGAACCTCAGCCACTGGCAAAGACAACTCTCCTTGCATTTCTGCTGTGAGGATGATTCAAAACAGTCGTGGGAGCTGCTGCACCTGCAGGCTCGTTGTGTTTGCCGTCCAAAAATGCTATCAGGCCAACCTTGCTCAAAAAAACACTCTTATCTTGTAATGCAAGGTTTTGCTTAAGGGCAAAAATGTAAGAGGTATGTTCTCAAATTCATGCTTCGTGAAAATAAACAGACACCTACAGACACGGACACCCTCACTGGCTCTGATTCTCATTTCTGGAGGCTGATGCCTGAATAGCACTGCAGGAAAACTGATAAATGTAAAACGGGTTTACTTCAGTGTTGCTTCATTCAAGGATATGTTCAAGACAAAGATGTTTTGCAGGTATTAGCCATGTGTGTGCTAAAGAACTAAAGCATGTACAGCCATTTTGTAACATAATTTGACATGAATGTAAGGGTTCAATAAATAAATGGTCATTATGGCCTGTTAGAGGGGTAAAACGCCCCCAAGGGCATGTTGGCTTAAGTGTAATTGTCAATTTAAGAGTGAGACATAGCTCACATAAAGTTTTGCTGATTTAAATGTTAATTTTGTAAACACAGTTTTATTATTATTTATTAAACATCACAGCTGGGATAGGCTCCAGCACCCCACTGCGACCCAGAAGCGGTTTAGATGATGGATGGATGGATGGATAAACATCACATTCATCTGGGATTCTGCTGCGACAAACCTGGAAGTGTGTAAACCTTAAACACACTTTCTAATCAAAATGTAATCATTTCAGGAGATCAATATAAATGGCATAATATACTAAACAATAATGTGATGATGGGTAAAAAGGTAAAAATCAGAGGAGCCTACACACACACATATATATATATATATATATATATATATATATATATATATATATATATATATATATATATATATATATATGCACACACACACACACATTATATACACACCTTGTATGTATAAAACATGTAACACATAAATAATATAACTGTTTTCAAGTAATTTGGACAGTTTCTGTCATGGTGAAATTAACACAACTAAAAGGCTAACTGGAAATTTCAAATTATGCAAAAAAACTAAAAAAACAACAACAACAAAAAAAAAACAAACCTGGGTATTTGCACAGCAGCGACTACACATATCTATACATACATATGTTTACCCATTATTTAACAAACTGCCTTTCTTTGTGTGTTTAGCAGCAAATTGTCATATCATTTGCATTACTTAGTAATATGTGTATGTTTACTTCATCGTAATATGACATACATATTTGTACATATCTATATGTTTTTACACCTAGTATCCTATCCTCTTCAGGTGTCAACATTAAAATAGTAGCAATAATAAATCTCTTGATTTTTTATGGCACACTTTAGAAATATAGAGATATATCTGAGCAAATATGCATAACTAAGTCTGGTAAATAAATCTGGTTATTCTGCTCACCTGATCCGCACACCACAAAGATGAAGAGAGCCAGGAGCCACGGTCCCACTGAGACTTTATCTTCTGTGGGGTTTCTCTGTGGTAAAAGAAATAAAATGGCGTAAAATACGACCACCATGTTGACGAAGAAGGCACTGCTTCGTTATTTGACAAGAAAAAAGATGGTACAGAAGCAGAGAGGGGCTGTAATGTCCTTCTTATTCGAACTATCCGTTCCACCTTAAATGGCGCAGCAGTTACATGCTGGCGCCTGAGGTGCCAGCATGTAACTGCTGCGCCATTTAAGGTGGAACGGAGAATTCGACGACAACGACCGTTTCCTCAGCTTCAAGCGGGATTTACGTCGACGTAACGTTAATATCTCGAAATATTTGCACTTGTAAACCATTTTAGAGGTTATTTAGACTTTATAAAGGTAAGAAAAGGGGTAAATCTGACGTTGTTGTAGCTTAACGTACCGAGGTTTTGACGTTTCCTCTCTGCGTGATGTTCTTGCTGTGCTTCTCGTTGGCCATTCGGATCCTCTGTTTTGCCACCATCTTTGCAGAAGGTTAGGTGAAGCCTGGGTGTCGAATAGCCGTCGATTTGAAGTCTGCAGTAAGCCGAGAAACGAGCCTCTAAAAGACCGAGAAAGGAAAAGTTATCTCGGCTTATGTCTACGTACTCAAAAACCCGAACTCCGCCTCCACCGGAAAACCGTTGCTGCAGAGCCTTTCGGTCCAACCAAACTCAGCCTGGTTGTTTGCATTAAAGGGTAACTCCACCGACTTTTCCAAATTTCTATATTTCTGCATACATAAATGGTTAAGATATGCACAGAGTCGTTCAGAGTGGTTTGTTGTGAAATGCTACGTTCTAGACAAACCTGCCGAGTCAGAATTGTTCACAGTAGTGGTGATAGGAACCAGACATCCATCTCTTAAAGCTCCCTCACAGAAAGTTAGTATATCAAATGGTTATATACGCAGCCTGGTGTCTGAGACGTTGTTTTACGGCAGTTTTGTGATTAAGTTTTGGCTTAAAATGTATTTTAATAAATTTATTTTAATCTCTTCATGGTGGAGGGATACATGAAGGGTGTTCTAAGGCAAAATAGACACCAAAGAAAACTTATTCTTTGAGATGTATGACTATTTTAGCACCATCAGCATTACATATAAAACTCGGAAGGCACGTGTAGGTTCACTGGTGGCTCTGGATAGTGACTAAAACCACTGTAAAGAGATCTGAGTCTCTACAGCGAACCGTTACACACCAAACCTCTCTGAATTACTCTGTTTACATCTCAACCACTGAATTATACAGAAATTTTGAATAATCGGTGGAATATCCCTTTAAAATATCCACAAACCATCAATCAAACAATAGGGCTGCTGTTTGATAGGATGTTTTTTCCCTTGAGTTTGCTGTGCCGCTTAATCACACGCTGCATCCCAGTATATGTGAGGTTTGGTTGGACTTTTTTCCACCGTTTATGCTGCTTTGATCGAAGTATGAGAAGTAAGTGTTGTTTATTGCAACGATAAGCATTTATTATTGCCATAACAATGCAGTTTCGTGCTCTAATACATTCCCAGTTAAAGAAAAAAATGTATAAATTGCACTGTTTTAGATGCGTAGTGACTTTAGGGAGCTCGGCCGCATCTCAAATCGACACTGCGTACTCCACACTTGCTACGTGATGTGCCATTCTAATGCTGCCTTCATCACAACTCCAGGCTTCCTACGCTCTCATAAAAGATAGTTTTTTAGTAAATGCATTTGTTCTATTTAGAACCACGAGTTCTATATAGAACCATTTCGTGCTTAAAGGGTTCTTGGCCTGGTGAAATGGCTCCTCAGATTAATAGAAAATGTGTTGTACAAGGTTCTATACAGAACTTTTTTTGGAAACGGTTCTACACAGTACCAAAAAAAGGTTCTATTGTTACAAGCATGACATCGTAAACAGTAGAAGAACGCTTTTGGTGCCATGTAGAACCACATACAACACATTCTCCATCAATCTGAAGAGCCACTTCACCATGCAAGGAACCATTCAAGCCTGCGAATGCTTCTATATAAACTCTAAAGAATTCTAAAAGGACAATTGCCTTTAAAGAACCCTTGAAGAACCGTGTATTTGAATCCCATTTCTTATTTTTACCCCCACCCCTTGTTTTCGAGTGTCACCTTGCCCCTTGGAACTGAGTTATAAGGGGTAGTGGTTGAAATCTTCCCTGAAATGGGACCCTCAAATAAAAAGAGCATTACTTCATTAACAGCTACCAGCGCTGCTCTGTAGGCGACCCTGCCAGTCTGCAGTGACAGCAGAGGAGGGTAAAGTTCAGCTCCTCACTGCTGGGATTTAGTTACATTTAGGGCATCATATGACTTCAAAGAGGGGGGCAATTATTTATTATCGCCCACCCCTAATTCTTCAGTGATATGAAGCTGAAGTCAGATATTCACCAGCTTCCTGTTCGAATTTTCCCGTTCCACCTTAAATGGTGCAGCAGTTACATTCTGGCGCTTCAGGTGTCAGAACTACTGGACTATTTAAGGTGGAACGGGAAATTTAGCTAGATAGCTACTGAGACATTAGCATGCTATTAGCAATTTTTTTGTGCTTGTTATGAAGAAAAGGACCATAATACACTGAAACTACATTAAACTAAGACAATACAGTGGTTATTGTAATTTTAACAGAGAAGATTTTCACATTTGTGGGTTTCAGTGGTCTCTTGTGCTCCATCTTGCCGGTTTTTCTTTTTTTCTCATAACTCTCTGTATGGAGTCTCCGTTTGGAGGGCCATGTAGCTCTAACACTTCGCCCTGCCCCTCTGTCTCAACAACAATCAGGACACCCTACCCCTAAACGTGAACGCGCAAAACAGAGGGGTAATGGCTGAGTGGTAGGGGCGAGGGGTGAAATGGGACTGGACCTAAGTGTGTAGGCTTTGATATGATATTGGAACGCAGCCTGCGTCCTCAGCAGGCGATCCGGTGGCGTCAGCGCACACGCCGACGAGTCGGAAGCCAATCACATCGCGCCGTTTACATCCCTTAAAGCCCCGGTCCAGGTTCCCGGATGCTGTGCCGTTGAGCTAGCTGCGGGGAGGATGCGTTGGTTGGCGCTCTCGTTCATCTCGTTATGGATTTGCGCTCTTTATTGCGCCGCCGGCGACAACACCGGCGTTAAAAAGATGAAGATGCAGTTCGCGACGGGGCCGCTGCTCAAGTTCCAGATTTGGTGAGACGTTTTTTCTGGAAATGTCCCGTGTTCAGGTCGTGCTAGGCTAGACGCCGGTAAGCTAGCGCTAAGTTGACTTTAGCACAGTGGCTAACTGTCATTTCCTGACACGGGTTATAAGACCCGGGTTTCGGCTGCCGCTGTTGTTTGTCCCACTTTTCTCTCTGTAGCTCAGCACAGAAACCGAACCAGGGTTCCAGCAGGAGGTGTTCCCTGTGCTCTGAGAAAGCTGGCCAGGCGTTCAGCTGAGCGGTGTGAAGAGTCTGATTCTGCTTCTAGACAGCCTGGCTAGCTAAGAGAGCTCCCCCCGCGGACTCTAATCCCATTAACGGCTTTAATTTTTCAGGATAAGCAGCTCTTCTATGTGTGGAAGCTCGTTTCTGCCTCTTGGGAAAAAAGTCATAAAGTGTGTCTTAATAATGACCTGAATATCTCATAAAAATGACTTGATGAGAAAGTGTTCTCGTAATTATGAGATAGTAGGCTAAAGCGTTATTAGAAGATATTACGTCATAGTTATGAGCTGTTATGTCATATAAGTAAGCAAGTCATACTTATGAGATGGTTAGTCGTGATTACGCGATACCAAGTCATAATTATGAGATAGTAAGTCATAATCATGACTTAGTAAGGTGTAATTTTGAGATAGTAAGTCGCTATTGTGAGATAATAAGTCATAATCAAGACTTTGTAAATCGTAATTGTGATATTAAGTTATTTAAGAGATTATAAGGCAGTATCATGACTTTGCGAGGCGTAATTTTGAGACACTGAGTCATTGTTATGAGACAGTAAGTCACAATCATGACTTTGCAAGGAGTAATTTTGAGATACTGAGTTATTATTATGTGATGGTCATAATTGTGACTAAGTCATAATTTTGGGACGCTAGGTCATAATTATGAAATAGTAAGTCGTAATTATGAGATGGTTAGTCGTGATTAAATGACAGTCATAATTATGAGAAGTCATAATCATGACTTAGTATGGCGGAATTTTGAGATAATAAGTCATACTTGAGATAATAAGTCATAATCAAGACTTTGTAAATTGTAATTGTGATATTAAGTCATTTTTAGAAGATTATAGGCAATATCATGACTTTGTAAGTCGTAATATTGAGGTGCTAAATCATAATTATGAAATAGTAAGTCGTACTTATGAGATTAGATCATAATTATGACATAGTAAGTCATTATGAGATGCTAAGTCATAATTAAAAGGCGTTGAGTCATAATTGTGAGATGCTATGTCATAATTATGACATGCTATATTATAATTGAGATGTTAAGTCGTAAGTATGAGATTGTCCCACAATTAGGACTTACTATCTCATGATTATGACTGACTTTGTAAGTTGTATGACTTACATGACTTTGTAAGTTGTATTTTTGAGATGGCAAGTCATAATTATTAGATGCTATGTCATCATTAAGGGAAACCTTATCATTATTATAGCTTACTTAAATGGATACATCTCATCTCAAACACAGTTGCACCTTAAATGGTTCCTAATTCAAGATGAACTAAGAGTCCCACTAATACATTTTCCTTTGAGCTGTCTGCCTTTTCTGATAGGGCTGCCTTTTGGACAATAACATGTATTGATCAATTGATTGAATCAAAATTTCTCCATTGTTCAGTCATTAAGAGGTAAATAAAGTCATTTAAAGTGGTTTGGTGTGAAATGGTTGCCTGAGCTTGGTGATGATGGGATCCAGGGGTTTGTCTACAACACAAATAAAGCCGCCGCTGTGAACAGTTCTGTGAGCATTTCACATCAGACCACTCTGTATGACTTTGTTTACATATTAGCTGTTTATTTAGGCAGAAACAAAGGGAAAATCTGTGGAAGGACAGATCATACAGTCCTATTTTTACTCCTCCCTCCCAACGATGGTCGTCACATGATCTTCTTTCCAGGGACGCTGCTTCCTTTTTTTTCCTGTTTGCACACTGCTGTGTGTTGTTGTCTAAAATCCTCTGTGTTCTGTTCCAGTATCTCCTGAGGGTACAAGCGGGTGTTTGAGGAGTACACGCAGGCTTTGTACCAGCGGTACCCAGACATCCGCATAGAGGGGGAGAACTATCTTCCTCTGCCTGTTTACAGGTGAGAGAGAGGCTCATTCAGCACTGCATCATAAACCGTTTTATAGCTGTTCCTGACATTATGATGGAAAAGTAAAGCAATCTGACAGCTATGTTGCATCATCGTCTGATTACAGAAGAAGCAGCTATTGCATTTTATACAACGTATACAATGTTAGTTCTGGCCACGCAAGCTGATTGGTCGAGAAGCGTTCTAACCGTGCTGTTATTTCGCCATAACAGAAAAGGCTTTTCACAGACAGTGTATCACTCCACTGAGACGCCATTGCTAAGCAGCGACTGTGACAACTGTTGGAGACGCTCAAGCCATTTTTTTGCGCACAAACAGAAAATGGATACTTTTAAGATCACATACATTGACCAAAAAGCAGATTTGGTCAGACTCTGAAGATGAGACGACACTAAATTCCCAAACTGTCATCACCACTGAGCAGCTTTTCAGTCAGCAGCTGTGACAGAAGAACAGCTAAACAACTTGGAATCAGCCAGAAATGAAGCCAACACCATTCGCCAAACTAAATGGGCTGTAAGATGATTTACAGACTGGTTGGAGCAAAACAACATTAATACTGATCTGGCAAAAACTGACAAAACTGAGCTAAACTTGATATTGCGGCAGCTTTATGGCTCAGTCTGTACTTCAAAAGGCGAGACTTACATCAGACTGTGCAGCGAGTGGGCGGAGTTTGTTACTCTGACGTAGCAACAAGCTGCTTGTTAAGGAACTATAATTTGGCTGAAGGAACTGCAAACATTAAAACATTAAACGCCGCGTTCACGGCCCAGTTTATTAATGTATTACTTTATTAATTTAACTGTTGTATAAAAGCAACAGAACACTCGAGAAGTGTGTTATCGCGAATAACGAATATAACCAACACACAGTGTACCTGATTTGCCACTGTTTTTTTTTTAAAGAAATATACATAAGCAAAGGAACAGGAGAGGGAGTGTGTTATTGCGAAATAACATCACGGCTGTGATGATCTACAGCGACCAAATCACAGCCGTGATGTTATTTCGCCATAACACACTCCCTCTCATGCTCTATTGCTTAAGTATAACCGACACACAATGTACCTGATTTTCCACTGTTTTTCTTTTAAAAAAATCAACATAATTCAATGCTTGAGATGTGAACAATTTGGATTAATGTGAAATATTTAATTGTAGAGAATTTCTTCACAGTGGTGGTGATAGGAGCCAAGGGTCTTGATGTCCAGAACACAAATATAACCATTTTATTTACCATTCAAAACCACCAGTGAACCTGAGGTTTTTATATGTGATGGTAGTAATTATAAAATACAGTTAAATCTGACAAAACGAAGTAAAAAGGTTTCTTTGAGGACTTTTTTGCCTTAAAGCGGCGTTCGAATACAACTCCCTCAAAAATGGCTTTTTAAAAATAGGCCAAAAGTCTTAGTAACAGTGTGTCAGGCCTCAGGTAATGTATGTGTGAGTATTGTATGTACTAACTTACTGTAAGGTAGCTTTTAAACTCTTCAGACGTCTGGTTCCTATCACCACTACTGTGAGCAGTTCTGACATGGTAAAGTTTCTCTAGAATGGTTTATGTCTTAAACAGTTGGTGGAATTCCCCTTTAACCCTATTCCACTTTTATTATGTAATCCTTGAACTGGGGTGGGTGGTAAGTTGTTATATAAGAAGTATAATTAATAATGAATATAATGATTTTTATTCAGCATTTCACATACCATGCTGTGTTAAATCCAGTGAAACAGGAATAATTATGCTGTCTCTTTAATGATTCAAGCAATTGGTCAGTGTTCTTTAAAGGGGACCTATTATGCTTTACTAGTTTTTCCCTTTTCTTTAGTGTGTTGTAGCTCTTAGTGCATGTAAACAGTCTACAAAGTTACAAAACTCAAAGTTGACGCCAGAGGGAGAAACTCTCTGCCACAGAAATCACTTTTCTCAGCTGCCTGAAACGCTTCGCTGGAATTTCAGCACTTTGTTACAAGATGACATCATCTCTTAACACAATACCTTATTGCCCGCCTTCCGACAAGCTCGGCACGCCCTCACACAGCAACAGCAGCTACTAGAGGCCGGGAAGAGTTTCTGTGGGGGTGAAGCTGGTCTGGCAGTTAAACAGTCAGAACAGAGTGTGTGAGCTGACCAATCAGAGCACACTGGGCTCGTCGGAAGGCGGGGCTTAAAGACGCAGGAGCTCTAACAGGGCATTTCAGACAGAGGGTGAATAGAGATGTACAGTATGAGGAAAAGTGATGTGTTTACATTGAAGCATGTAAATCTATTCTAGTAGTTGATTTGAAAATGAGCATAACAGGTCTTCTTTAAGTAATAGCGATACCTGTAATGTCCTCGGAAAGGTATATTGTGACGGTATCACAATAATGATAAAGTATCATCATGTTGCCCACCTTTGATATCTCAGAATGATGTACAAAGTGGGTTGATAGACTGATTCAGGAGTCTGAGACTGATTTATTCTCAGAAATATTAAGGAATTCTCGCCTCTGTTTTTACTTCCAGGTACATTGCTTCCTTTCTGTCTGTTTTCAAACTGCTGTTGATCGGAGTGATCGTCGTAGGGAAGGACCCGTTCGCCCTCTTCGGTATGCCGACTCCAGGACTTTGGCTTTGGAGTCAAGAGAATAAGGTGAGAACTTGGACTGTGTGTCAGCACTTCAGGACCTGAAACCACCCTGTTTGAGTAGTTTGTTGACCTTTGCTTCACTGCTTTCTAATTCTGGTTTCCAGTTCAATACATTAAGGTCAGTACTGATTCCGGAAGGAAGGAAGAATCAAATTTTAGTCTCACTTCTGCTGTCTGTAGTAGAGCGTGACTGATGTGATAATATTCGTAAAATTTTATATTTATTTTAGATTTTAATTTTAAAATGCAGTAGTCTTAGATAAACGGTGCCTTACTGACAGATATGAGTGTCAGTTCTCAATTATCACACATCTTACACAAATAAACAAGCTCAGTCTTAAACTAGAAACATACATTTCCTGAAGAAATCACAGAATGGTTGCATGGTTACTATGATACCCAGGTGGTTGCTAAGGTGTTCATAGGCAGTTGCTATGCTATCCCATGCAGTTGCTAAATTGCTGCTAGGCAGTTGCCATGGTGTATGGGGTGTTTATTTAGTTGTTCATAGAGAGTTGCCAAGTGGCAGCTATGTGTTGTTGAAAAACAATGGGAGTCTATGTGAGGAACGAGGGATGAGAAAACGACACATAGAGGAGTGTGGGTCAGCATAACTGTGGATTAGAGCTAGGGGACCCGCCCTGAGTGTGTACATGAATTTTGGGGTCAGTATGGCTGTGCAGTAGAGATTTAGGTCCAACCCTTAGTCAGTCAGTACATGTAGTTTTGTGACTGTAGGGCAACGAAGTTTGTGTGGTGGTGAAAATGAATGGGAGTCTATGATAGAAACGAGGGATGGGGGGAAAAAAAACTAATAGATGAGTGTGGGTCAGAACAACATTGAATTCATGCTTGGGGGCCTGCCATGAGAGTGCCGTTATTTTTATTAATATTGGGTGATATTATCGACCATCTGATATATCGGTCGGGCTAAAATAGTGAACTTCTATTAGATCTCTTGGCGAGTTTAAGTAAAGTAGCGATTGCTTTCCCTCACGTCTGTTAAGCACAGTTTTAGCCTTAACCGCAGTGGTTAAAGGCCAGTGATGATTCACCACTAAAAAATTAATCTGAAGGATTAATCTTAATCTGTGTCGGGGAAATGGCCTTAAATGTTATAATCCCACAGTTTTTTTTTTTTTCCTTGAAGAAATGAAGTGTTGTGTTTGTAGATTTAGCCTCTCCAAGCTGCTGTTTGTGTTTGTGCTGGACACATTAGGGACTAATCAGCCTCCAGCCATCGGTCCCCTGTGGATGTGCTTGAAGCTCATTGGTCACCCCCATGATAATTTTCCCTTCTTGGTGTCTGTTGTGTAATCATGTTTTAGCTCATGTTAGTGCAGTGTCAGTGCTAATGAGCATCACCTGATGGCTCTGTTTTTCAGAGAATGTAAAGTTAAGCTATAAAAGACCTTGCATCATGTTTAGGAATCACTTTGTGAGACTAAGGCCCAATCCCATTTCTTATTTTTACCCCCACCCCTTGTTTTTGAGTGTCTCCTTGCCCCTTGGAACTGAGTTACAGTGGGTAGTGGTTGAAATCATCCCTATGAAATGGGACCCTCAAATTAAAAGAGCATTACTTCATTAACAGCTACTAGCGCTGCTCTGTAGGCGACCCTGCCAGTCTGCAGTGACAGCAGAGGAGGGTAAAGTTCAGGTCCTCACTGCTGGGCTTTAGTTACATTTAGGGAATCATATGACTTCAAAGAGGGGGGCAATTATTTATTATCGCCCACCCCTAATTCTTCAGTGATATGAAGCTGAAATCAGATATTCACCAGCTTTGTGTTTGAATTTTCCCATTCCACCTTAAATAGAGCAGCAGTTACATTCTGGCGCTTCAGGAGTCAGAACTACTGGACTATTTAAGGTGGAACAAGAAATTTAGTTAGCTACCGAGACATTAGCATACAGTTAGCAAATTTTTTTTATGCATTATATGAAGAAAAGGACCATAATACACTGAAACGACATTAAACTAAACTAATACAATGTTTATCGTAATCTTTAACTGAGAAAATTCACACATTTTTGGATTTCTTTGCTCTCTTGTTCAGCCATCTCGCCAGTTTTTCTTTTTTTCTCATAACTCTCTGTTTTGAGTCTCTGAAAAACCTCTGTTTGAAGGGCCATGTAGCCCCAACACTTCACCCTACTCCTTCTATCTCAACAACAATCGGGACACCCTACCCCTAAACGTGAACATGCAAAATAGAGGGCTAAGTGGTAGGGGTGAGGGGTGAAATGGGATTGGGCCTGAATGTCCTGTTTTATCTTCTTTTTTTGCAGGTATACGCCTGCATGATGGTGTTCTTCTTCAGCAATATGATTGAAAATCAGTGTATGTCTACGGGTGCTTTTGAGATCACACTCAACGGTAAGGCTCTTTTTTGAATGTGTTTTAAATCAGTGTTCTCTGTCCTACGCTATGTGCATGGAAGCTGCAGTTTAAAGTGCACCTGTGGTTAAGCCAGTTGTTGTTTAAGTCATATATCTGCCTCTAGATGTGGTTGTATCTGAGGTTTAACTGAGGTTTGTCTTAAACCTGCTACAAACATGGTTTTACTGAAGTTTAAGCCAAGAAGCAGCTCAGATATGTTGCCTGGATACCTCAGCTTATATACCGTCCACCATAATGTTTGCAGGCCTTGGGAAAGTTTTGATTTAAAGGCAGTTTTATTCAGTTAAACACACTTAAATGAATGACTTTCAGTTTTATGCAGGTTAAAAATCTAAAAAAGAAAAATGTATAGATAAATCTTTGAACAGGAACATGTAGCATACGTAGGGGTGAAGCTGCAGGCTCTGGGTTTTTTTTTGGGGGGGTGGGGGAGGAAATATTTAGGATTAATTTCCATTAGGCCCATGTAAAATTGTCTGTATTATTGATTGCTGTTGGTAGAATTTGAACATTTATTAAAGCAGTAAGCCACAGGGAATAGGTTGTGCCCAACACAGTGGAAAATCACTACAATGCACAGCCAATAGTGCATTATTTTAGAAAATCGTGACAAAATCCCTTAAAATTGAACAATGATACTAATATTAATCACAGCACAGTTCTTCTGCCAGGCCATGTAGTTTGTTAACAGTAGGCTTTTAGTAACTTGAATTACAGAATTAAGTTAAAAATCTGAATATGGCTGATTTTACAACCGTAAGAGTGCATTTTAATACTGTTTACTAATAACAGACTATATTAATATTTTGTTTATTTAATAATAATGTAATATAGGCTTTTACTAACTTAAGATTTTAGAGCATTAAAGTGCATTATATTACTGTTTAGTTATATGTTGTAAGTAGTTTTATGTTTAAGGGTCTTTTTTTTCCCGCCTCTAAATTTAATCTAGAAATGTGCTGCTTTGGGCCATTTATAATTAGTCTCTTTATTTCTGAGGTATTTTCTCCAAATTATTTACAAAATGTTTTCTTACTCTTCATGTAAAGTCCATAGTCAGTTTTTTGCAGTGTTCTGATCATGCAAATGACCGTACTGGAGCACGCTCAGTCTCGCCCATTTTTATCACCACTTTAGTTAGTAGAAAACAATAATAACATCAAAATGGGGAAGCAGTTTGTGTTGAACCACAGTTCGCTGCCAGACTAGAACAGTTACAAAACCCAGGTATGCAGCATCAGTAATCAATATACTGGTAATGTTCGTTGTTATTAGATGTTCCAGTGTGGTCCAAGCTGGAGTCCGGCCACCTGCCCTCCATGCAGCAGCTGGTGCAGATCCTGGAGAACGAGATGAAGATGAACGTGCACATGGACAGACTCCCACACCATCACTCGTAACCCTTCCTCCTCCCCACTGCCTGGAGCCTAGGACTCCTCCATGTACGTACAGCTTCCAAACAGTCCACATGCCACATCATTCAGGACTTTACTTAGTGAAGGGTACGCTCTTCAGTTCTTTCTTTGTTGGCAACTGAAGTTATAGCCCTAGGGAATAATTCAGTTCTTCCAGTGCTATCCATCACAAAACTAATATGTTTTCAAAATCAGTCAAGTTTCTGAAGTTGTGACCTCCATGTGCTCATCAGATGGTGCTTCCTAACATTTCCCTCACATCTGTTGTGTCTTTGGCCTTCTCAATGAGTACAAAATGTAAGCTGCATTTAAGGCACATGTGTCAGGCTCCAGTCCTTGCGGGCCAAAACTCTGTAGACTTCAGCTCACTGCCTCATCAAACACACCTGATTCAGCTCATCAGCTATATGGCAAGGCGTGTTAGATGAGGGTAAACGCTGATCTCCACAGCACTTTAGCCCAGAAAGTCCCCAGTTTGACATGCCTGATTTAAGGGAAACATATATGCCCCTAACTGACCACTGAAGCAATACTTTGCCAGTGTCAACGAGTAAATGTCACAAGTAACATCCAAATTGACCCTAGAGCTCTTTCTTTAGTACTTAAGACTCGGGGGGAGGTTCACATGAACATTTAAGGTTGGGATCTCATTAGGGCTGCGCATATGTGTATACATTGTTGACCATTATTGTCATTTTTGCAAGGTCAGCCTTCACAGTATGCATATGAGCCTCTACACAATCAATAAATGCTTTGCTGTGAGCATTCTGGCCAATCACAGATGCTCTTTTGGCGTTTAGATCATGGGTCATGTAAAATGTAAACCGTGTTGTTCAAAATAATGCAGGTTGTCCTTTAATCCTCACTGCATCAAAGGTGTTGGAGTACATTGCTGTGCATTAGCAATGGGCGATATGGCAGAAGTACATCGGTACTTCAAAGAGAAGAAAAAACTATTGTAAAGTGATGTAATTTGAAGATAAATATCATCATATTGCCCACCTGTGAAGTGCATACTGTAATTGCAATATGTAGCAAAATAATCACAATATGATTTTATCCACATCATACAGCCGTAGAGCTAGAGCTGGGCAGATATGGCAAAACTTTATATCACAATACTTTTTTTAACGATATAAGATATGTAACAATACTTCATAAGGCTACATGACACCTGCATCAGCTTGTCATGAAAGCTGACATAACTGCATAAATGGCATAAATGCTTATTCCAATAGGCGCCATTCGCTATAAAGGTTGCATTTGCCAATTTTGATCAAAGTTAGCTAAAGTAGCTTGTATGGCAGATGATACCTTTTGGAATAAGCATGTATAAACATTTATGTAGGTGTTACGTAGCTCTATGAACAGTGCTCTACAATAAAGTGTTACCGAACAGCAGCGTTTTAAAAATATGCTCAAAAACTATGAATTATTTGTATTCAACATTTCACATTCTGCTCTAAAGGCTCTTTTTATAATCTAACATTCAGTTGGGTTTTTAAGTGCTGACAATATCCGCTTTACTCAGAAAAGCGTATTTTGACACGTTGTACTGTAATTTATCACAATAACGATGTCGTCGTATCACCCAGCCCTGCCTAGAACTTGAACTCATGATCATTCTGACACATGAAAGCTGCGCGATCTGCACTCACTGTGTTCTTCTCTCCTCTCTCCAGTTTTGAGGTGGGGCTCTCCTACGGTTGCGAGGCGACGTTTATGAAGGTTTGTGCTGAAAGTAGTGGATCTACTAGCGCAGGCCGGATGTCCCGCTCGCTCCTCGCCACACCCCCCGGAGACGCCCGCCTACAGATACCGGCTTGGGGTCCACGGCAACAGCGGTGGCCGTTTGTTACTACTGAAGCCCACATGCTGTGCAATAACCTTTCAGTTCAGGATTAACATATACGTAGATTTTGGTAAGAGAGAATCTGCACTGAAGCACATCTGTGTAGTTCGTGTTGAGCTCCTTCAAGCGTTACTGCCACTGACGGAATCTTGGGGAGTCTCTCCACTTCCACCTTTTAACGCTCATTGTATGGCTAAAACATGGTCTTTGCGTACTTTCATAAGAGATTGAAGACGACGTGTAACTTATTCAACTGACCCAGTCATGGCTGTTTAACATTAGACAGATTGTGGGTTGTTTTATTGACCTCCTGTAATTTTTGTATTCGTTTCTATAGCCAACCATGTTAACTGAGAGGATAATAAAATTAATTCTAACAAAGGTGAGTCTGATGTCTTTTGAAATGTATCTCTGTTGAATATTTTTGTTCCAAAATTAGGAAAAAGCAAATTGCACCTGGTGTTATTATGGTGAAGGTGGAGCTTCCAAAAGTTCTGAAGCTACATGATTAAACGACACTTGGAAGGAACGCTGGAAAGAGCTACTGAGCCACTGCGAAGACCTCAAACCTGCGAGTTTAAGACTTTTCTGTTTATTATATGCAGTCTGTAAGTGACTGGACAGTAAAACAGTACGTTTTGGTATGTACTCATGTACTTCGCTACATGAGGTTTGAAATGAATGACTGTGAGGTTAAACTGCAGTGTCAACTGTCAGTTGAGGGTATTTGGTGCTATACTGGGTGAACAACAGTACACAGGGGGAAGCTGTGGCAATTTATTTTTAACATTTTGGTGCAACGGCTTTCCGTGCAGTGGCTTTTAGAGGCCTTAAGGAGGCCTTGAAGAGGCGCATCAGACGCCTGGTTCCCATCACCACCACTATAAACTGCTTTAGACTCTAGAAATGTGCATTTCACACTCGACCGCTCTGAATGACTACAATTTATTGATTTAATTATGTAGAAAAGTGGAAAATCACTGGGATTAGTGTCATGGAACTGTTAAAGCTCTGTGACCTAGTTAGCAGCTGCAGTCTTAGTCAGGTCTTAATCAGATTGCTTCAGGTGAGATGTCTTATCTCTTAATACTAGATTACATTAATTATCTTAATCCACACAATCTGGTCTTTCTTAGAACTTTTATTTTTGTTTTCATTTTGTGTAGAGCTGAGTTTAGAGCGAAGAGTCCACATCATTATTCTTTTTGATCACTATTTCTTTGTGGAACATTGTTCCTTCCTCCCCAGTGTAGCAATGTAGAGCTACCTTATACACCGATCAGGCATAACATTATGACCACCATTGTCCATTTTATCAGCTCCACTTACTATATAGGTGCACTTTGTAGTTCTACAGTTACAGACTGTAGTCCATCTGTTTCTCTGCATACTTTGTTAGCCCCCTTTTACCCTGTTCTTCAGTGGTCAGGACCCCCATGGACCCTCACAGAGCAGGTACTATTTGGGTGGTGGGTCATTCTCAGCACTGCAGTAACACTGATGTGGTGGTGGTGTGTTAGTGTGTGTTGTGCTGGTCTGAGTGGATCAGACACAGCAGTGCTGCTGGAGTTTTTAAACACTGTGTCCACTCACTGTCCACTCTATTAGACACTCCTACCTTGTCAGTCCACCTTGTAGATGTAAACTCAGAGACAATAGCTCATCTGCTGCTGCACAGTTTGTGTTGGTCCTTCTCTGGTCCTTCATCAGTGGTCACAGGACGCTGTTAGCTGGATACATTTGGTTGGTGGACTATTCTCAGTCCAGCAGTGACACTGAGGTGCTTAAAAACTCCAGCAGCACTGCTGTGTCTGATCCACTCAGACCAGCACAACACACACTAACAGACCACCACCACATCAGTGTTACTGCAGTGCTGAGAATGATCCACCACCCAAATAGTACCTGCTCTGTGAGGGTCCATGGGGGTCCTGACCACTGAAGAACAGGGTAAAAGGGGGCTAACAAAGTATCAGAGAAACAGATGGACTACAGTCTGTAACTGTAGAACTAGAAAAGGGAACCTATATAGTAAGTGGAGCTGATAAAATGGACACTGAGCGTAGAAACAAGGAGGTGGTCATAATGTTATGCCTGATCGGTGTAGGTCCACTGTATAGGTGTACAGTTACACTTAACCCTTCTGCCCCAAGTCATCACTGGTGGTAGTGTGTAGTGCGTGGTGCTGGTACGAATGCATTGGACACAGCTGTGTCACTGAGTGGACCGTCACCCAAAAATATGCTGACGAGCGCTGTGGTCAGTAGCCGACCGCTAATAAAGGGATAGAGGATGAATAACGCAAAATATGCATCTAAAGATGAGCTACAGTCTCTAAACACAACAGATGTTCAGTCTTATCTGCTTTATTATTCCAAGTTGGAACAAAGTAATACCGCATTTAAAATGCTGTAAAAAATAATACAGGAAAATTTCTGAAGAATGGGTGGAGTTCCCCTTTAAGGCAGAGAGAGTGAATCGTAGAGGGAGCACTTGGCCTGAGGCTGAATCTCAAATAGCTCCCTACTGCCTATGTAGTGCACTGTGTAGGTAATGAAATAATGGCTTCTACACCCACGTAGTCCTTCATCTGTTCAGTAGAAACCCACTTACATCCAGGCATTTATAGTCAGACCCCCTGTATAACATTCAATGCACTGTTTGAGTGCAGAAGCCATACATTCTTAAAAAAAAAGGTGGTTCTTCAAGGGTTCTTTAGTGAAGACATGGTCCTGTATAGAACCCTGAACACTCAAAGAACCATTTGCATGCTTAAAGGGTTCTTTGCATGGTGAAATGGTTCCTCAGATTGATGAAGACATCAAACTTGGTGCTAGATAGAACCATATACAACACACTGTGCATCAGTCTGAAGAACCATTTCATGCAAAGAACCCTTTAAGCATGCAAATGGTTCTTTGAGTGTTCGTAGTTAAGAGTGCAGTACATTTATATAGAGTAGGAAGCCGTTTGACATTCAACCTGAGACTCGTTCAGGAGCACAGATGACCAATTGCAATGGAGTTTTGAAGTGCCTTGAAAATACATCAGAGTTTCCCAACTCCAGCCTTGGAGCACATTGACTGCATCATTTTTTATTCTTGCAATTCTCCTGATTTGGCTCAAAGCAGGAGAAACATGAAACCATACAGTGCTGGAGGGGCTCCAGTATGGAGTCAAAAAAGGGGCAACAAGAGTTTGAGCTTGTAAAACGATATTCACAGATGTACTGAAATTTGAAGTTGTGTTTGAGCAACTACACACATGTAAAATCCAGATTCACAAATGATTTGGAATCTGAAAATATGAAACCAAAAAAAAAAAAAAATTAAATTAAAAATAATAATAAATCAAACTCACAAACGTGTAAAATTATTTTGAATATGTAGAAAAGATTTTTGAATGTGTAAAAAACATTGGCGTTTGTAAATGAAATGTTGTGAATCAGTGCTACTCAAATGATTTGCATTGTTTCCAACCATAAAATCACATGGAAAGTTTGAGGTTCCAGTTGTGACAGCGGGAGTTTTTCAGTGCGACAGTACAAACCCACAAACACGTCTCTGTTTCTGTTTGTGTGAAGCTCTTTTTACAAGTACAGATTTTTGACCCTATTTTGATGGCAAATCAATGGACCAATAGGAAAGCTTGAACTGGTCCAATCAGAGAGCGAGTTTGACTTATCCAATCACAACCCTGACTGGTTGCTGTCAGTCAAAGCTTTGGTAAGCTGTTGGTACCCATCTCTAATGACGCTTCAACCGAGGGCCTATGTGGACATATCGGTATCTGATTCTAGCAGTATGTTTACATGTTAGGTAATAGAACAAAACACTATGGACATTTGACTCTGCAGTCCGGTCCCGCAGTGAGACTTTGCAGTCAGTTATGTTTATATAATGATGTTGTCATGCGCCTGTCCCCCGGCCCTGGTGATGGCCGCGAGAGCCGGCAGGAAGGCGGGGCCCGAACTCTGAGTGAGGACGAAGCCCTGTGAGGACGGCAGGGAGAGGAGAACCATGAGTGAGTGGGGGACGGCACATGAGTCCCAAACACTGCAGAGGGACACGAGTGACGGCGGGAGGAGGACGATGACAGCCATGGGAGGCATGAAGGCGAGAAGTGACTCTCAAGCTCAGCCGCCCGGGTCGAATGAGAGGCAAACTAAAGTGCCCTCGCTGCGGGACCGGACTGCAGAGTCAAATGTCCATAGTGTTTTGTTCTATTACCTAACATGTAAACATACTGCTAGAATCAGATACCGATATGTCCACATAGGCCTTCGGTTGAAGCGCCATTAGAGGCGGGGAACCAACAGCTTACCAAAGCTTTGACTGACAGCAACCAGTCAGGGTTGTGATTGGATAAGTCAAACTCGCTCTCTGATTGGACCAGTTCAAGCTTTCCTATTGGTCCATCAATTTGCAGAGATGTGTTTCGTGGGTTTGTACCGTCACACTGAAAAACTCACGCTTTTTTACATGTTCAAAAATAATTTCTGCATATTCAAAATTTTTTTATGCATTTGTGAATTTATTTTTATTAATTAATTCATTTATTTATTTTTGTTTCATATTTGCAGATTCCAAATCATTTGTGAACCTGGATTTTACATGTGTGTAGTTGCTCAAACACAACGGCAGATTTCAGAACATTTGTGAATATCGTTTTACAAGCTCAAAATCTTTTTGACCCTTTTTTGACTCCGTACTCCAGGAGTGGAGATGGGAAGCACTGCGGTAATCAAATGCAGATTTTATCAGCATTGAGTGATCACACACAGAGTGCTTATACAACAACCTTTGTGCTCCAGGACTTAATAGTGTGACCTCTTGAATGAGGGGTCAGTGCAGCTCCATAACAACAAACAAACAGCGATTGTGCTGTATGTGTAAGTCTGTTTGCTGCATGATTGTCATAGTGAACCTGATCATGCAAAATATCCTACAGTTTTTTCTCTGTTCTTGTTCCCACCACTTTTCAGAACAAAGTGATGCTTGTAACAGTAAGCACTCGTAACTTAAAGTAGGCCTTAAAGGTGCAGTGTGTAAGATTGAGCAGCATCTAGTGGTGAGGTTGCAGATTGCAACCATCTGAATTCCCCTCCCTCATCCCTCCCTTTCTAAGCGTGTAGTAGAACCTATGATGGGTTTTCTTCTGTCGCCTGTCCCGAATCTAAGGAGCCCTGCTGGTGACATCCCATATAAATAACAATAACACATGGCCACGCCATGGGAACGAGATCCTAATGTGTGAGCATTACTTAGTAAGGCGTGGGAACAAGATAATTAAGTCTCAGCCAGGACTTAGTAAGGCGTGGGAACAAAATCATGCCTTATTAAGCTGTGGTCAAGGCTGAATTATCTCATTCCCACTCCTTACTAAGTCATGGCCACGCATTATTTTATTTATGGGGGATGTCACCAGCGGGGCTCCGTACGTTTCCGTTGTGCTTCTTCATTTTTTCGCTTCTTTGACGGCGAGGATTCGCCCTCCCTCACTTCTATTGCTAAATAATACGTTTCATCATCTACTTGTGAATATTTGGGTTCCTATGACACAAAATGGTCAGCCAGCACCAGCAACAACCACTGATTCTTCTTTTTTCTACGTCTTCCAACCGGAGCTACAGCGCCACCTAATTCAAACTGCTGCTTCTGCGTAAAAATGCGAAAGGCGCCCTCTAGAGCCAGCGTTTGGGTTTGTCCATTCTGGGCTACTGTAGAAACAGGGCGGTGTGGTTTGCCAGAAGAGGACCTGCTCCCTATGTGGATATGAAGGGCTCATTCTAAACGGAAACACAACGAGTCATAGTTACAGATGATTATACAGTGATGAAAACAGGGTTTTGCATAATGTATTCCATTCCTGCTAATAGAGCCCCCTAAATCGTACACACTGCACCTTTAATCTTCATTTTCTCCTCTTCATATTGCTTAGTAGCTCCTCCTACAAGCATTTTAGACTTTTAAGCGTTCCTGAGGCCTGGGGTCACTGGCAGTCCTGCAGGCAGTGCTGAATGAAGGTCCTGTCCGTGTCCTTCATGTGCATATTGTGGCTCACGCTCAAAAGCTTCTTGGCCAGAGAGAGCAGGACGGGAGATGGCTTGATGTTCTGGTGCCTGGGGCTGGAGGGGAAACGGTGGCACCAGCGCAGACGAGTGAGAGTGAGCCGGAGGTAAAACTGGCAGGCCAGCAGGATGAGCTCCTCTTCACACAGGGATGGTCCAGGAGGAAGAGAGTCGTAGTCCTTTGGCTGTGTGAATTCAGAGAGAGATGGACTGTGAACTTGACATGGTTTCTAAGCAGCCACTGCAGCATGAAATGGTCAATGTTCGACATTTTTCTGGAAGGACACTTACGATGTTGGTGTGGAGGTACTAAAACAGTGTTGATTCATTTCTACCTGACCTTTTGTGGCCTTTCTTTATTCCTTACAGATAAACAGGACATACATTTACTGTGCCTTGAATACTGATATGTTATGGCACTAAATGGATGCCTCATGCCTGAGACATTGTTTTATGATAGTTTTGACCTAACATCACATATAAAAACAGGGTTCGATTCCCCGGCCGGGCAACCAGGGTCCTTTCTGTGTGGAGTTCTTCCCATGTCTGCGTGAGTTTCCTCCCACAGTCCAAAGACATGCAGTCAGGCTGATTGGAGATGCTAAATTGACCCTAGATGTGAATATGTGTAGTTCAGTGTGTCTGTCCTGTGATGGACTGGTGGCCTGTACAGGGTGTTTCCTGCCTTCCACCCAGTGAGCAATGGGATAGGCCTGAAAGACCCCCCCCCCCGCAACTCTTTAGGATAAGTGGCTTAGATAATGTGTGTGTGTGTGTGCGTGTGTGTGTGTGTGTGTGTGATTGTTTTAATTTAGATATTTTTTTAATTGATAGCATTAAAGCTTCCAAAACGTTGCTACATAAGCCTTAAAGATCCAGTGAAACACTAAAGTACGCTTCAGAAAGCAAACATGTCTTTGTTGACGGACTAAGTGGAAAAGCCTGTATATTTGATTGTTTTAAACGAATCTCTGATTCACTTTTGATTGTTTGTCTACAATAAACTGCAGATGGGAGCCTTCAGAGCTTTCCTGGAACTCAAAAATACATGTAGGTAGTTTTTAGTTCTTTTAAATCAGCAGTGCTGTGTCTGTATTTAAGTTCTGCAAGTGTTACAGTTTCACCCTTGTTTAATTGTTGAGTATTGGATGGAAACAAAAGGGTTAAATCCTTGAAACATCCAGCAGAAAATCGGCCAATCAGGAATTATTTATCTCTGTGGTATCTTGGCAGATATAACTAAGCGAGCTCTCCTATTGGTTAGGACTTCGAGAGCAGAAGAGAAGCGTTAGACCAACGGCATAATTACGAAGTGACAGAAATCAGCCAATCATGTTTTTATTTCCAGTAGGCGGGACCAGAAAAACATCACTCTAGGCCTTCCTGAAGTCCTGGATACGTCACTGGCTGTGAATACGAGCAGCAGCCTAATCAGTGAGTTGTTAGAAATGGAAAACTAAAATGCTAATATGTTTATTAAAAGCTTCAAGTAAAACGCAGAAAATCTTTTAGAAGCTTCTTAAACGTCTGTTTAATCTAGAACAGCAAAAAAATGCATCCAAGTCAACATTAGCTTAGCGCTAACAAACTACTTGAATCCCATAGAGGCGCTAGAAGTCCGACAGCGTTTTAGGGCCACTGTTAATAAAAATAAAAATAGTAGACTTTGAGAATAAAGTGATAATACTTCTAGAAAAAAAGTCCTAATATTTAGAGAAAAGATTTAATATTTCTAGAAAAAAGTCGTAATAGTTCGAGAAAAAAGTCGTTATAATTCTAGAAAAAAGTCATAATATTTCGACTTTTTTCTCAAAATATCAAGACTTTTTTTATCGAAATATTACAACTTTTTCTCTCGAAATATTATGACTTTTTTCTCAAGATATTAAAATTTTTTTTTTAATAGTACAAGTTTATTCTCAAATATCATACCATATAAATTTTTTCTCTAAATATTACAACTTTTTTCTCGAAATATTACGACTTTTTTCTCAAAATATTGCAACTTTTTTCTCAAAGTCTAGTATTTTTATTTTTATTAACAGTGGCCCTAAAACACTGTTGTACTAGAGGCAATGAGCTTTATTGTAGAGTTGTTTTTTCCCTAATGTTTTGGCTGAAGTTTGACCTTTATGGCCTAAATTGAAAGCTAACCTTACATCTAGTCACGGTTCGCCATAGCTAAACTGAATTATACTGTGTTGATGCTACTGAACATCTTCTCTAACCAGTATAAACAGACTCATTCGTCTTTTCTGAGTGACCCCACACCTTTAGGACAGCTGACTCACATATTATGCAGCCTGTCTAGAGTCTACAGCCACTCTGTATTTGACATGGCGGACACGAAGTGTCAGATTAAAGACGTACAGTACCTTAACGCAGCTGCCGACGCTGAACCTCGCCTGCTGTCCCAGGGCCAGGAATGATACGAAGACATGCTGTCGTCCCAGAACTCTGACCCCCACGTTTTTATTGAGTGACAGGAAGATGGGTCTGAAGGGAGTGGGAGTTTGGGCGTGGTCACTCCAGCTCCACTTTCTGGTCCTGGCTCCTCCTTCATCGAGACTCTGCCCTCCACACATGTCCATATTCAGCCTGAATGATTACAGTATAATGGAACAAATACATCCACAGACTTTAATAGAAACCCTGGATTTACTTCCCCTCACTGGCCATTTTATGAGCTGCACCCACCTTATAAATTCTCTATGTAGGTGTACTGGCACTATATAAGCCCCCCTGACCCCATTCATCACTGGTTGTGACCACAGGGCCACTGTTGACCAGGTATTATTTGGGTGGTGGTTCATTCTCAGCACAGCAGTGACACTGAATTGTTGTTGGGCTTTTAACACACATCAGTGTCACTGCTAGGTTAAGAGTGGTCCACCACCCCAAATGTCCAGCCAAGAGTGCCTCTGTGGTCAGAAACTGGTCACTGATAAAGGGCTAGATGATGAGTAAAGCAAAATATGCATCAACAGATGAGCTACAGTCTCTAACTGTACACCAGCAAAGTGGAGCTACATGGTACCAGTTTCTGATAAAGTGGATGGTGTGTGGTCTTTGATGAGTGCGGTCAGTGCGGTCCATTTGAGCTTTTATCTAAGACTAACTGCAAGATATAACCCTGCATGTAACATCTTGGACTGCGTCCACCCAACACAGCGTGTGGGGTCGAAAACGTGGCCTAGTCTGCTGCTCTTCTGCATAACAGCTTGTTTTCTGTTGAGTGAGCTGCTCTGCCGTTTTACCATGTCGATCAATAACCAGAGCACAGACAGAGCCGACACCTTGACCTTACCAGACCCCGCCGTTGCCGTGGTAACAGGTGGCTCTGCCGCTGGACTGGAACAAGGCTTTCATTGGGCTGTTTGGTGTGATGTCATCCTGGATGACACACACCCTCTCCTCGTTTGTGAGAAGGATGATGGCCAGATTTCCTGACGGGTAGCTGCGTTCCTGACGTTAGGGAGAAAACGGAGGGCTATCTATAGAGATCACGGGGCCCATACAACATTCAGGTTCAATCTTTGGCCTGGTGAAGATAATTACTGTGGATTATAAAAGTTTGACCACTCAAATCGCATGTCTTTGTTGATTTTCTACAAGAAAATAAGTGAACACTTCCTCTACAGTGAACAAACATTTTTCTACACATTTTAATGCACGATTTCTACAGGGAGATTCACTCGAAAGAGGCCCCAAATATTCTGTAATAACTCTCGCTAGGACAAAGCAATCTGAACGAAACAACGTGCAACGTGCTCCTCAGTATATAGAGTGTCGAACAAGTCAGGATGCCCCTGTGTCGGGGCGAAGAGGTAGGCGCCGGACAGCCGTCGCAACGTTTAACCTCCTTTTGCAATGTCTGGGTGCAGACCCCCCTACCCCTTCATGTGTCTGGCAGAAAATGGAGATCACCTCCAGCATCACATGTAATGCAATCGATTACACATACGTCAAGGTATGTAGGGTATTTTTTTGATTCAGATCGCTTCATCATAATGGCAGTTACAACAGAATATTCGGGGCCTCTTTCAAGTGAATCTCCCTGTATTTATCTGCTAAGCTTAAAACATTGGAAAAAATACAATATAAAATATAAAATGTACAGCTTGTAGAAGCTACACTGCACGCTTTTCTTTTCCAATATATTAATTTTCACTGAGAAAATCTACAAAACATTTCATTTGCATACACTATAGTGTTCACTCAGACTGCAAAATGATAATAATAGTGAGATTTAGTATGTTTACACCTCTATGTACTGTGGAAAAGTCCATATCGCTGTTGTCGGAAGAAAACCTTGTATCTCCAAAATAGTAACTTTACAGGTGAAGGAAAAAACCTACTGTACTTTTAATGTAAGTCAATGGAACCAGATTTTTTCCAGGTCATTATGGGTCATTTCTTTTGGTCCATTCATCATGAAATTTACACACAATGTAAAGGACAACAGGCTCTTTCAAATTATGTCCAAAACTGAAAAACATCAAAAATGGAGATACAAGGTTTTCTTCCGACAACAGTGATATATGTAGTTTTGAAGAGGATCTTATTAACCACAATTCGTTAACTAGAATATTTGTCAGTTTTTAAGCTTTACTGCCCTCTGCTGGTGTTAAAGTGAATGTTGAGGGTTCCTCTGTTCTTACGGAGCATTGAGTAAACTGTAAGGTCCTAAAATGAACTCTTTCTAAAAGGATACAAGACTTGTGCAGAGCCGTCTGGAAACCCGGTGAGGAATTTATTCCCGTTTGGGTAAAACTTCTGTATGAAACCTGCGCTGTCCTAGAACAAAGACGGCTACGTCATATAATAGTACATCATCATCATCACACACATCATCATCTAAACCGCTTGTCCTCCTGGGTCACGGTGGGGTGCTGGAGCCTATCCCAGCTGTCATTGGGCGGAAGGCAGGATACACCCTGGACAGGTCGCCAGTCCATCACAGGGCAGACAGACAGACATACAGAATCACACACAATCACACCTAGGGGCAATTCAGCATCTCCAATCAGCCTGACTGCATGTCTTTGGACTGTGGGAGGAAACCCACACAGACACAGGGAGGACCTGCAAACTCCACACAGAAAGGACCCTGGTCACCCGGCCGGGGAATCGAACCCAGGCCATTCTTGCTGTGAGGCTATAATAGTACATTCTTTACTCAATTAAAGTCCCAGCAAACACAGAGTAAAATATAAAAAAGACTGTTGTATTAAACATTCAGCAACGCCATCCATCCATCCATCATCTAAACCGCTTATCCTTCTGGGTCGCGGTGGGGTGCTGGAGCCTATCCCAGCTGTCATTGGGGGGTGTACATTCAGCAACGCTTGAATGAAAAATTATAAATGTGATAAAACATGGCTTAAAAACTGCTGATCAAATCTGAGAACTGTATGGGCGTGGCTAGTGAGCAGCTTGATTGACAGCTCTCCTAGCTCTGCCCCTCATACAGAACTAAACTCATTATCCAGCTTTTATGTGACGCTAACTGGACGAAAAACGTCACAGACGAACAGACGGACGAAGCAACGTGTAAATGAAGGGATGGACTAACAAACGATGCTGGTGTTGAACGAGTGAATGGGCGACAGGCAGCTACAGACAGGTGGTCTAGCTTGCTAGCTTTTATGTTGGGTTAGCTTTAGCTTAATAAAACTCTGAAACTGTTTTATGTGGGCGGGACAAAAGACGTCAACCCTGTGATTGGTCAGGGGAATGTTTACAGAAGAGTTACCCAAGATTAGGACCGCCCAGTTTACATTGAGAGCGGAGAAATGTGGTGAAATATATCGGTCATTTATGGTCATTGGAACATTATTGGAAGGGTCAACTTAGAACATGTTAACTGTTTGCCTACAAGAACAAGATTTCGGTTCCCAGGTCTTTAATAATAGACTCTCTTCTCTGTAATAAACATTTAATTGTCTGATGAACTCATGACTAATCTGATGTTCCAGGCAGGTACCTGCTGATTGTTTAGACCAAACCCCGCCGGTCCAGACACAGAAGGGTCATTCCACTCCCACGGTTCTGGCATCTCCTCCTTCCTGGAGTCTTTCTTTACAACCAAGCTTTCTTCCACAGGCACACAGCTGGAAAGCTGGAAATTGATGGTCTGGGTGTGAAACGAACCTGAAGAGAGGTAGAATCTGTAGTCATACTGTATTTTTCCCAGCTTCTGCTAGTTAAGTGACATTTATTTACATATCGCTGTTGTCAGAGCAAAACCTCGTATCTCCTAAATGGTAACTTTACAGGAGAAGGAAAAAACGTATTTTACTTTTAATGTAAGTCAGTGGAACCAGACGTCTTTCCAAGTCATTTTGGGTCATTTTATTTGGCCAATTCATCATGAAATTTACGGACAATGTAAAGGGCAACAGATACTTTCCAATAATGATCAAAACTGAAAAATGACAAAAATGGAGACACAAGGTTTTGTTCCAACAGCAGCGATATATATTAAAGTAATTGTGCTTTTTCTTATGCTTAGGACTGCCAAAAGCTGTATTATAGAAACCTATGGGAGGTTAAGACCACAGCTCAGAAGAAAAACACTAAAAGCTTATTTATTGTGTTTTTTAAAACTTCCCATAGTTCCAAGGCCATAGGGCACCTCAGAACAAGACCGCCTACTCACTGTTCTCTGAAGACAGTCTTGCTTGAGCCTCTCTGTAGAACCTCTCCATCTCTCTCTGTTGCAGTCTTAAATTCAGCCACAAGAGGGAAACCAAGAGCAAATGGGTCACCGTCAATCCCAGTGTGGAGCGGATGTCACGGATTTCGTTCAAACTGATGGGTTTCTCAGCATTTCACTGACCTGCGTTCCTCGCTGTCCCACTCTCCGGCTTCCAGCTCCAGCCCGTCCTCCATACTGCTGTGGAAGTCTCCCGCTCTTATGGTCCCTCTAGGCCTCTCTTCACACAGCTTCAGAACAAACCTCCTCTCCTGGGCCACCTCCTCAAACACCTCCCTATACCGCTGACAGCAGAACTCCTAGAGAACAAATGAAGGTTGCTCTGAGGTGTTTCCCGAAAAAAGGAAGCACTCGTTTCTTCTGGTTTAACACTGATGAGGTATTCTGGGGTTAGAGGAATAGTTCAGTGATAAAAAGTCCAAACCAGGTTAATTACAGTTTTGTGGCCAGTTCAAAGACAACAATATACATACATAATCTAAACCGCTTATCCTTCTGGGTCGCGGTGGGGTGCTGGAGCCTATCCCAGCTGTCATTGGGCGGAAGGCAGGATACACCCTGGACAGATCGCTAGTCCATCACAGGGCAGGCATTCACATTCACACCTAGGGGCAATTTTACCATGTCCAATTGGCCTGCCTGCATGTTTTTGGACTGTGGGAGGAAACCCACGCAGACACGGGAAGAACAGGCAAACTCCACACAGAAATGACCCTGGTCACCCGGCCAGGAATCGAACCCAGGCCATTCTTGCTGTGAGGCGACAGCGCTACCCACTGCGCCGCCCAAGGCGACAATATACTATACAATATAAAATCATTAATAATAAAGAGCAACACTTTTTCTTTTAGTAATTTTGTACCCAACTCTGAAGCAGACGTGGGAGTAAAAGCAGTGACAGCATGTGAGGTTACCTTTTTCTGCCGGCCCTCTAGTGGTCAGTCTGTTGGCGGAATGAAAATCGACTTGGATATTTTTAAATGAATATAATCAAACAGAAATGTTTCCCCCATAACTCGGTTATCAGATTAAGTTGGACACAGGTGGCTCTCTGTGTGTCAAACGTTGTGACTCTGTTGAGCTGCTAGTGAGCAATGAGGGAGTAAAGGGGGAACTGTGAAAAACAATTCACACCTCTCCTAAAATGGAGAGAGAAAAAGGACAACTGCAGCTTTCTTTATATCAAAATAGCGCACAGCTGCTTTAAGAAGTAGCATTTAAACACAGGAAAAACACTTTTATGAACGTTGACTTGCTTGCTGTCCTAAGAAAAATGAAAATTGGGCACAACGGGCCAAGTGTTGGTTCTTTCATCAGGAGATCGCGAGTTCGATCCCTGGTGATGCTACATTCGTCCGTGACCGGGAGTCCAAAAGAGCACAACATCTCCCCATCAGTGAATGCGATGCCATCCAGCGCAGCGTCTGTTAGCTGATGTAACAGATCTGGCGGTTGGCGCTTTTCTCAAAGCGCTTTTAGCTGTCCAATGACGTTGCGTTAGTGGTGGTTCGAAAAGATGTGGTGGCGCTTCACAGGTCTCAGATCACTGCTCATAGGCTCGTTGGTCTAGGGCTATGATTCTCACTTAGGGTGTGGACCAGCCCTGGCATTCATTGTGACTAGAAGGTCGCTAGTTCAATCCCCTTGGCTGACAGTACGTGATTGAAGTGCCCTTCAGCAAGGCGCATAACCCCCAACTGCTCCCTGGATGCCGTGGATAGGGCTGCCCACTGCTCCAGGTAAGTGTGCTCACTGCCCCCTAGTGTGTGTGTTCACTAGTGTGCATGTATGTGGGTGTTTCACTGCACGGATGGGTTAAATGCGGAGGTCTAATTCCTCTGTGTGCAAACACAGTTGGATAATGGCTCTGAATTTAATTCAATTCATGTGACTGGCAGAGTCCTAACTAGTAGGTGGAGTTGATTATTTCTAAATTGGGGAGAAAATCAGCAGGAATAGCTTTTTATGACTGTGAAAAGGGGATAAAAGTAAAAAGACCCCCTACAATCTAGTTTAACCGTTTACTGCAGTTATGATTCACACAGTTCTCTGAATAAGAGGATTCTGTTAGCGGCACAGGCCCACATGTTAGCTGCATTAGCCTCCATTGCTAAAAGTAGCACTCCAAACAGGTCTTGGCTGACTGACCACATTTGCGTTAAGGGTAAAACTGTGTACGTTTCATTTTTAATGAACTATTCCTTTGATCTAGTCTGTTTTTAAACCTACCTTTGGCTCCTCTCCATGGATTGAATCCAGAGGAGGTTTGGCCGTCGCACCGCAAAATTCACACCATGCTGACTGGTCACTGGATGGCTGAGGCTAAAGCCACACAGATAACAGGAAATAGCATTATTCACATTGTTTGCTTATCACGAAGGATAATATGATCAGTGTTTCCCCTACAATAATAAACTCACCTGCTGCCCATCTTGGATGACATTCGGACAATAGGATGTAACTTCAGGCTAACATTTGCTTCCTAGCGTTTGCTTTTTGTGTTGTATTCTCTACATTTTGGGCAAAATAGTCTATTTTCTAATTGTTTTAAACCATCTGTTTTCAAATTTGATGATGCACTAATTTCAAATCTCATGCACAGATCTGATCAGAGGCGAGCTGGTTTGTGCTGAAAAAGCAGCGTAGCCTGCTAGTGTCTAACCACAGTAGACTTTAATCGCAGAATTTTATTTAAAACTATTTTTCTCTGCAGTCTGAGATATTATTTTGGGGTGGTTTTAGTTTAATTGAAATGTGTTGTTTTGTTTTAGTGTTACTGAATGTGTTGTGCTCCTGAAAAGGCCGCAATAAAAGCAGTGAAGCTAAACAGTCAGCTTCCTACAGCATTCTTTACAAGGCCTTATAATCAGATGCAGATCTATTTGAGGTCTCTTATAGACCTCATAGTCCAAACAGTTTTTAGTGTTGTTACAAAAAAGGTTGTACATCATAAAACACTACTTAGATTTCAAGGAATTATTCAACTATTCCTATACATTTTGACAGAAACATATGCAAATTATTCTTTGACTCATATAAACGGACTATAAATGGGTCCCTGGAATTAATTACAATTACACTTCCTTAAAACAAATGTGTAGAGAATGCATAACGTAGTGTATTCACATGTATACTTGAATTTTTAAAATAATTTTCTGTGATGTTAATACACCGCTGCATTTGATGATACCACAACAACACTGGTCACTGTGAAGGGTCTAAAAAAGGGTAGGAGAATATTAAGAGGAATTTGTGCCTGAAAAGCCATCAAACATGAAATGCAATGCACATATGACATTACCTTTCCACAGGTGACATGCAGAATAAGTGCCAAAATGAAAAGCAAAACCCCCACTACGCTGTTTTCACATTGCTTGACTTTTTCAGTACTTTGAAGGTATTTGCCTCACTGAAATGCAACCGAAACAGTGAAATTCTGTGTACATATGAGACTGTGCAATGTGCCAACATCAAAAGTAAAAGATCTATTACATTGATTTAACATTGTTTTAGGTTCTGAGGAGTGGAAAGCAATATAGTTGTGCCTTTATTACATTCCAATTACATTAAATTCTGGGCTGAATTCAGCATTTCATTCTTAAAATGCCAGTCCTCATGCCTGGCACATATTCTGCAAGTCACTATGGAAAAGTAATGTCATGTGTTAATTGCATTTCATGTATTTCCACTGTCTTCAATTTGGCATGAACTCCTCTCCCCAGGGGAAACACTGATCATGAATATGAATGATAAAAACTTTGACAGTGAGTCTTGACTCCAGGAGCTACCTCCTGACTTATTCTTCTCTCCTGTGATTCCCTCCTGTATCTCAGGACACCGTGCAGGCCATGGCTGGGATCCAGGGAAGCTTCCAGCTTCTGTATATGATCCTGCTCCATCGGCTGAATAACAACAAACACACCAGAGATGCAGTAGAGGGAATACACTGACTGAAAATTCCAGCAAAGAGGTTTTTATCACCTTAAACTTTAAAGGCCCATTTGTCCCTCATAACTACATAACTTCCTTACATAATTCACTTACATAACTTACACAGTTACTGAATAATAAGCCTTAAGAGTGACTGGTGAGCCTTCACTCTAGGATTCATAGTCATTGCATTTGTGTGAGGAAAGATTTTTCTCACCAGATCCACCACGTTTTCTCCAGGCTCAGGGTCTCCGACTGCAGAAGCTGCATCTAATACATTATAACATTGTTAAAGGGCCCATATCATGGAAAACCACATACTGTTTACTTTTTTTTGGAAATAAAAGAATTTAAAATTGTCACAGTCTCTTACAATTCAGTGGCACAAATCTGAGCCTTTTCCTGCTGTTTTCTTATCTTTCTTTTATTTATTTCCCTGAGGATCATGTGGTTTTATGTACAAAAATAAATAAAAATAGATTAAATATCAAAATGTCCAAAATATTTTGCAAATACAAATAACGAGAGTTAAATCAAACTTAACTTTTCAAAAAGATTACTACTCATATTTTTTTCTATTTTATGATTTTGCTAGTCTGTTTTTGGCCTCTGGAACCTCTTTTGCTTCTGAAATCTTTCTTCCGCTTCTGACTTTCGGCACTTTTTTAAGAAGAGGGCGATCACCTGAAAATGAGTAGTAATCTTTTTGAAAAGTTGAATTTGATTTAAATCTTATTATTTGTATTTACAAAATGTTTTGGACATTTTGATACTTAATATTTTGCTTGTGGATTTTTTTATTTTAGTTAAAACTTTTGGCACAAAATTAACTCCATATTTACATTGATCGGTCTTAAAGGCAGAGTAACAAAAACAGCCTGTTTAATTCTAAGGGATAAAGAGAGGTTGGAAAATGGTCATATAGAAATGAACTATGACTGTTTTGGTACATAAAACAACACAAACGTCGCACATCATCCTCAGGGAAATACATATATTCCTCAAAAGGGATGTGTGAACCACATGTGTGGGTCACTGATCACTGTACTCAATACAGCCACTGCTGTCTAAATGTGCCTGTATTAGGAAAGTAAAGCATGCAGCTGTATCCCACTGCTCACCTGACTTCACACTGCTGTCTTGCTCTTCTAAAGCATCTTGGACCCCGTGGATTGCTGGGAGCGTCTCACTGTCCCATGTCAGTGTCCCAGAGTGGGACATTCTTTCGCCTGAGGCCTCTCCACTCTCCATCCGCCCCGTCCAGAGAAAGAAAGCGAGGAAACCTGATCCACTTAGGGTTGAGTTCCCCTCGGCAGACTTTCCCTCTCCTCAGCTGTCGTTAGGCTGATCGGAACCCGGCAGGTAGGGCAAAAGCGGGACATGGAAACGCTCCAAAGGCTATCCAGGCTCCTGCTAACCTCCCTGACCTTCATGGCACTTTTGAGCAGCGGTGCATGGCTCCACTGTGCCCTCTACAGTGTTGATGGTAACCATGGATATTGGAGAGCGCTGACGAGGGTAGTTGTTGGGCCTGTAATATCAGTGCCTGCGGGGAGTCCTGGCAGCCAGCCAGATCAAAGGACCAGAGTACAAAGGGAGGTCCAGCGTCCTGGGCTTGTTTCGGCGAGATGTTTGAAAACAAGGGTCATGAATCGTCCTGGCCGATTCAGATTCTAGTTTTGTTACGGCCAGAATGTCTGACTGGCAGACTAATTTGTTTTAGGCAGCTCTGTGCAATAAGACTACACTTATCAAGGGTTTATGAATGGTTTAAAGGTCATAAACACCTTAAAAATCTTTAATATCCCCTTATAACACAAATGAAAAGGGCAACAGTGACTTGTTGCTTGCTAAATAGTGAGTCCACATTCATCTAAACTGGTAAACATCTGACGTTACTGATCTTATTTTGCTTCATCACTTATTTCTATTAATCAGATAGAACAGATAGAACTGTTGCCCTTGTTATTTATGTGTTAACAGGCTCTGTTCTGATTGGCTGCATTGCTTTGAATGTGTTGAACAAACTGTTTTGGCCTCCACTCTTAAAAATGATGGTTCTTTAAAGGTTCTTTAGTAAAGAAAATGGTGCTATATTGAACCATGAACACTCAAAGAGCCCTTTGCATGATTAAATGGTTCTTTGCATCATGAAATTGTTCTTCAGATTGATGGATACATGCTGTAGATGGTTCTATATATATATAGCACACAAAACGGTTCTTCTATTGTTACGATGTCAAGCTTGTAACAATAGAAGAACTCTTTTGGCTGCCATATAGAACCCTTTTCAAAAAGGTTCTATATAGAACCATCTACAGCACATCCATGCACATTCTCCTAACACAAATAAAAAGGTCAACAGTGACCTGTTGCTTGCCAAATAGTGAGCCAACATTCATCTAAACTGGTAAACATCTGATGTTGCTGGTTACTGACCTTATGTTGCTTCGTCACATAGTTACATTAATCAGATAGAACAGCTCACTGTTGCCCTGTTATTTCTGTGTTACAGCTGCTTATTCATAATTGTAAGATGTTTATTACATAATTACTATCTGTTAATAAACTATTTTAAGATTAAGTGACCCTTATTTGTCCCACAACAAGGAAATTTCACCTCCACAATTTAACCCGTCCGTGCAGTGAAACACCACATGCACACTAGTGAAGACATACAGTAGGGGGCAGTGAGCACACTTGCCCAGAGCGATGGGCAGCCCTATCCGTAGTGCCCAGGGAGCAGTTGGGGGTTAGGTGTCTTGCACAAGGGCACCACAGTCACGTACTGTCGGCTCAGGGGATTAAACCGGCGACCTTCCGGTCACAGGGCTGGTTCCCCAACCTCCAGCCCATGACCATTCAACCTTACTAAAGATAATCTGTAAAGTGATGCCTTCTTTAAACTATTAATATTTATAATATTATATTATAAAATATTAATTATATTTGAAAATATTAATATTATATATTTTTAATATTTTATTGGAAAGCTACAGGCACAAGATCAGACTGTTTATTTGTTTGCACTTTGGGGGTTTAATGAACACTTTGATAATCAGAAATTAAACAATAACATCCAAAAATAAATAGATGGATTCATCTTAGGTTCACTTCTACTAAAAGCCTTTGAGTTCTGAACCACTTTGGAACATAAATTACACTTTAAAAAGATTTCAGGGGTTCTTTAGTAAAGGGAATGGTTCCATTTAGAGCCATGAGTTCTACATACAACAATTTCATGCTTAAATTATTCTTCGTATGGTGAACATGGTGGTTGAATACGGTTCTATATAGCACTAAAAAGAGTTCTAATATTACAAGCTTGACACTGCAGCAATAGCAGAACTGTTTTTGGTGCTATATAGAACCATTTCACTGTGCAAAGAACCATTTGAGCATGAAATGGTTGTACACACTTAAAAAAGATGGTTCTTTAAGAGTTCTTTAGTGAAGAGTTATTCTAGATAGAGCAACAAAAGAACACTTTGCATGATTAAAAGGTTCTCAGCATCATGAAAGCGTTCTTCAGATTGAGAATGTGCTGTAGACGGTTCTATATAGCGCCAAAAGTGGCTCTGCTATTGCATAAAGGTTCTATTAAGAACCATATACAACACATTCTCAATCTGAAGAACACTTTCACTACGTAAAGAAGCCTCCAATGATGCAAAGGGTTCTTTGTGTGTTCATGGTTCTAAATAGAACCATTGTCTTTACTAAAGAACCCTTGAAGAACCGTCTTTTTAAGTGTGCATACTGTATGTCCAAAGGTCTGTAGACAGCTGCTCCTCCAGTGTTTCTCTTGAAATGAAGGGTAGTAACAGGGAGTTTGTCCTCACTTTGCTGCAGTGCTAATCTTCTGTGAAGGCTTTACTTGGAACATTGCTGTAAGGATTTGATTGCAGCCACAAGAGCATTAGTGAGGTCAGGTACTGATGTTGGATGATCAGTTCTGGACCACTGCAACTCATCCCACAGATATTGGATGGAGCTCCATAGAACACAGTTCCACTGCTCTACAGCCCAATGCTGGTGGGCTTTAAACCTCTCTAGCCTCGCTTGGCATTGGACATGGTGAGCTTATGCACAGCTGATCCAGAGCGTCCCATAAAAATGGAACTGCTGTTTTTTAACTGCTGACTTTTTTAATATTTAAGCCTCACTAAAACGTTTTTTTTTTTGTTGAATATGTACAAAAACAAAGATTTTTCCTTGTTTTTTGTGCTCATGTTTACTAAGGGTGGCAGTATATCTGGGGGACTCTGTAGAGCAGGGCTGGAGAGTTCAGATCCAACACACCTGGCTTTAACACATTCCTCTGAAGGCCTTCGTTATTTGGATCAGGTGTTAGATTAGGGTTAGAGCTAAACTCTGCATGGTGGTCGATCTCCAGGACCAGGACTGGGCACTGCTGCTGTAGATGATCCACAAACACCTTGAACCATATAGATGTCCCTAAACGATCACAATTATATAGTGACACCAAATAGGATGTCAAATGTTCACGTGCAGATGGAACTGCTGGTTCACGTGAATAGACCACTGTAGCCATGTGGTCATTTTGTAGTGGGCGCCATGTTCTTATGTCCATATTAGGAACTCCGGGTCTGAGCTCCATTTCTCTATGGCTAGAATGAATAGGGTTTTCGAAAAATCGTCTCTATCGCCCCCTGTGGTAGATAAAAATGTTCAGAAAATTCTTCTTCCGAATACCACTGGATCCTCCGAATTACGAGGTCGTTAAAGAGTTGAAATATGAATATTGCTACATGTGAGCTAAAGCTACTGCACACTGAATTCACATCATTAGACTGGCAGCCTCCTTAAGCACACTTTGCCCGTGTGGTAGCGTATTTCCATGTACAGACTGAAGGCAATGAAAAGGAGTCTGAAGAAAAAAGCAGGTTTCCCTGCAGTTCTCTGTTCTTCATCTGATGAGGGAAAATTTGACCAAGCAGCCGGCTAAAAAGAAGCTGACCTCAGCTTCATGGAGGGTTGAAAGGCCTGATATGAGGAGGTTTCTCTATTTCCGCTTAACAGAGTAACATTAACTTATTTTTTGCTGTTTCACAGAACCGACAGGTCGGTATTTTGTCTCGTTTGCTAATGTTTGTGATAGCTAGTCACAGCTGCTGCGCTATTTAAGGTGGAACGGGAACATTCAAACAAGAAGCTGCAAAAAAAGACACTAAATTCAGCCTCGTAGTTTAACACGGGGAGTATCTTTAATAAGGAGTTTTAGTCTATCAAAATATCCCACCTAGAGGTTTTATTTACGGGTTTACCTGTAATTATGCGCAACAGTAGAACATTTCGATAAGGTAGCACAGCTCGTCAGAGCACCGCCACAGCCCGCCTTAGTTTAGTGTAGCTTAGTGACATCAAATTGATGCGCAGTAGCTTTAGCTCACATGTAGCAATATTAGTATTATAGCTCTTTAACGACCTCGTAATTCAGAGGATCCAGTGATATTCGGGAGAAAATGTTCACAGGACAAACCGTATCGGGTTCTGAACATGTTTATTTAACACAGGGGGCGATTTTTTCGGAAACCCTATTCATTCTGGTCATAGAGAAATGGAGCTCAAACCCAGAACGACGCTCGACTACAGTGGTCTGTGGCAATGTTTTCTACCTCCTTGTGGACGCAAGTGGGATTTACAGGACATTCAGCACTGATTTAAAAAATATTTGGCCATAAAGTTTATTTTGCACATTTCTTTGGGCCACGTTTAGAGTTTACACTCTCATTTGGCAGATGCTCTTCACTACAGCGACTTCAAGAAACACCAGGAAAGCTTGTCTTTGTGCCAGTACAAACAGGCCAAAGTCTAAAGATGTTCTAGTTATAGAGATGGCAGAACAAGCGTTTGAAGTCCCTGTAGTTACTGAATATTGACCCTTAGTATGTCATAAGCCTGGGATTTTAAGGGGTTAGTTTCCATATATGGTCTGGGATGTATTGATGTATGGCTGTATGGATGTTTTGATACTTTAATAATGTTTACATACATTTATTTCATGTTTTCCATGATGTGGGCCCTTTAATGTAAGTTATATATCTGAAACATGCACATAGGTTGTTGCGAAGAATGTACGCAAAATGTATTTTACCTTTACTTTACATTCATATTTGTGAATGTAATGTCTGTGAGACACCCGATCGTGAAATTCACCCACCTACTGAATCAAATCAATAGAATATTCTCCCATTTTATCAGCTTAAACGTGACACGGATAGGAAAAGCACAGTCTGACCATGAGCCTGAACGTGGGACCCCCTCCCACCCTCACTCTTATAGCCACTTAGTCCCTTTCTCTCCTTCTCTACAGTGCCTGGGAGGAAGATTGCTCTCGCTCTCTCTCTCTCTCTCTCTCTCTCTCTCTCTCTCTCTCTCGCTCCCTCCTCCCTTCGCTCTGTGCGTGGTGTGTGTGTGTGTGTGTGGTGAAGGTAGAGCTGCTCTCTGGGGAAGCGTCTCACACACTGCAGTGTAAGGCAGGGCGGTTGCTGCTGCTGCACTCTGCCATGCTGAAGGATGGTGCACCAGGAGAAATGCCTTTACCAGGTGAGCAGGCCTTGTATTTTGGGACGACGGTAACCTTTACCTCAGTGTTTTGGGACCACCTCTTCACTGATCTGGCTTGGGCGTGTGGGAAAAAATCTATATTTAGGCGTCTTGGCCTTGGCTCCACTTGTGAAAAGGGCTTGTTTTGATTGCTGTTTCTTGATGGCTTCACGATTCCGGGTGGAGCTGATCAAATCTCTATGCGTAGAATTTAGAGATCAAGGCTGTTTCTGTGTTTTCAGAGTAAACAGACTGGTTTGATATGTTAATTACATGTTGGTTTGATATGTTAAGTGACGGGCTGGTTCTGATTCGAGTGATGATGCTGGTTCAAGTGATGAAATCCATTCTTCTTGCAATTTTGCTGGTCTGCTCGGACAATCTGGGCATGTGAGTTAGTGTTTGCTCTGGAAAGGGCTTTATCAGTCCACAGAACAGCCAGACCTGCTCTCTCCCAGCCGTTAGCGGAGAGTGGGAGGACTTCAGGCTCCCCAGAATGTACCAGAAAGCGGCTTGACTTCGATTGACGACCTTACATCACAGGCTTCGTCACGAAATCTGTCTTCGTCTACATTGATCCACAGAAGGCCTGCCTCAGACTAACCCAAATCCAGTGGGAGAAGCTGCCAAATTTGACAGTGAGATGAAGCGAGTGGGGTGTGGCTTTGAGGGAAAAGGTGGAAGAACTGGCAGATGTTTTTTCCCTTTCTGCTCTGGGGAATGAGAAGGGGTTGGCGTGTATCCACCTGAAAATATCCACACCTTCTGCCCAGTCCCAGGAGGGTGGAAGGGGGGAGGAAGAAGACGGGGGAGGAAAACAACGTCCTGGAGATGGATGATGGCAGCAGAAATAGCATTAGCTGTTCCACATCATGACCGTCGGTGTTGCTATGGGAGATAGCAGCAGGTAGATTGGAGTTATTTTGGTGAAGATGAAGCACATACGTGTGCAAGGCCTCGGAGCACTCTCTCTTAGTCCCTCAAGTTCATTAACAATAGACATATGTACACTGTGTAAAAAGGGTGAAAAAACAAAAAATTCAAATAAATGCCAAAAAACAGTCGAAAGTCTGTCATCAAAGTTGGCCGTAGAAAACAGTTAAATAACACTTATTTCTGTAAATATAGCTACAATCAAAAATTTTCTCCCACCTATTGTTTAGGACTTCCTAGGTCTCACAGTGCCGTTAACACATCGCTGTTGTCTGAAGAAAACCTCGTATCTCCATTTTTTCAGTTTTTGACATAATTTGAAAATACCCGTTACTCTTTACATTGTATGTAAATTTCATGGTGAATGAACTAAAAGAAATGACTGAAAATGACTCAGAAAAATGTCTGGTTCCATTGATTTACACTGAAAGTAAAGTAGGTTTCTTCCTTCTCCTGTAAAGTTACCATTCTGGAGATACGAGGTTTTCTCTCACAGCGACATGCTGTGTTGGTCTCTGGGCCAAGGATAGCATTGAATTCAAATTCACAATCTCCTCATGTTGGGGTGACCTCTCAGACACTCACTAAACATCTGTTTTTTACAATGTAGGAGGAATATGAGCTTAAGAGTGTAAGAGTATACACTGACAAGAGAAGACCACCAGTATGAAGAATATCTTTCAACTGAATTGAAAAGCAAGGCTGTATGCCTGATATGTAAGGAACTCATTGTAGTATTTAAAGCAGCACTGTGTAAGATTTGTAGTATTATTGAATCAGGAGAAAAAAAAAAGAACCCTACAATATTGTGTTTGTGCGCTGCTGTAAGTCACCCCGTAAGCCCGTAAGCCTGAAATAATCATTTAAAGCTGCTCTATGTAAGTTCAAGGGATTTGGAGACCCCTCTGGTGGAAAGGTGTTATTACATGCAGTGTGGGTTGTGCTTCGGACCACTTCACCAAGCGGATGAACTTGATGATTGCGAGAGTGTTGAAAGAGTAATCAAAGAGAACAGTAATGGTAATGTCTTTCAAGGATGTAAGTGAATTACATCCATATTTATCTTTTCATCTGATGCAGTAATGCTATTTCTTTTAATTTCAACCAAAAAAAAATCTGATATATTGCCGCTTTAAAAGTCAGAGGTGTCAGGTTGTTAGTTTTTTGGACCATGTCATATGTCTAATGTCACACACATAGGCTCAAAAAGAAGGTCCAGCTCAATGTCTAGGCCGCAAATGCAGAATCAACATTACACTAATGAAAATATGATGACTAGTAGATAATTCACTCACATCCTCTGAAGACACGTCTTTCACCAAGTTCTGACTGAAGTCTCTTTTAAGGCTTTCAATATGCTTGCAATTATCAGATTCTTCCACTCGGGGAAACACAAACTCCGAAACACAACCTACATTACAGAATGCTGTAGTGTAATTACACCTTTCCACCAGAGAGGTCTCCAAATCCCCAAAACTTACATAGTGTAGTTTTAAAGAATACAACCCAAAATGTATGACTAAGAAGTTACTAATGACCTATTTTGTCTTCTTGGCCTCGGCCCACCACAAACATTACAGGGCAAAAAAGTTTAGGCACCCTTGATATAGACTGTGTGTGTAACTTAGTGAGTGTTGTGTTTGGCGGGTGGGAGTTTTTAAACACTGTGTCCACTCACTGTCCACTCTACTAGACACTCCCACCTTGTCAGTCGACCTTGTAGATGTAAAGCCAGAGACGATAGCTCATCTGCTGCTGCACAGTGTGTTTTGGTCATCCTCTAGTCCTTCATCAGTGGTCACAGGACGCTGCCCACAGGACGCTGTTGGCTGAATATTTTTGGTTGGTGGACTATTCTCAGTCCAGCAGCGACACTGAGGTGTTTAAAAACTCCAGCAGCACTGATGTGTCTGATCCACTCAGACCAGCACAACACACACTAACACACCACCACCACATCAGTGTCACTGCAGTGCTGAGAATGATCCACCACCCAAATAGTACCTGCTCTGTGAGGGTCCAGGTGGGTCCTGACCACTGAAGAACAGGGTAAAAGGGGGCTAACAAAGTATGCAGAGAAACAGATGGACTACAGTCTGTAACTGTAGAACTACAAAGTGCACCTATATAGTAAGTGGAGCTGATAAAATGGACAACGAGCGTAGAAACAAGGAGGTGGTCATAATGTTATGCCTGATCGGTGTATATTGTCATGCCAAATGCTGCGTTCTTTCTCACTAATAGGTGGGCAGTGTATCAGTATTGGAGATGCGGCAAAAGTGGAAAGCCCCCTCCACGCCTTCTGTTCACTAAGAGAGCAGTGATTTCCCCTCCAGTACAAGGACAGACTTTACTTCTCTACTCTTCCCTCTCTTCTCCTCCTAAAACCCCCCACACGCACACCCAACTGCCCACCATGGCCATAGTGACCACTCTAATTCAAGTCTTACAACACACTACTGCTCTTACTCTCATCTTCCCGGCCCTCGGTAGTAAACAGTACGTGGTGCTCTTTGCTGGATCTTCACGGCTGAGCTGGCTTCATCATTTATTTAACGTGCGTGCTGTGTGTGTATGTATTTGTGTGTGTAGGCCCAGAGGAACGAGAGGGAGTCAATCAGGCAGAAGCTGGCCCTCGGCAGTTTCTATGACGACGGCCCCGCTTTCTTCACCGGCTGCAGCAAGGGCGGCAAAAACTGCCTGTCCTCACGGTGGGTGGAAATGTGCTGGAGTGCGTATTTGCGCATGCTGTGATTGATTATTCTCCATATGTCTGCAAAGAACTCGTAAACAGGCCTCCATTTTACTGCAAGTCGGACATTTGAAGCTACATTTCTGCAGGGGCCACTACTCCCACGGCAAACTTTCACTTTTACTGGATTTGAAAAATGCATTTAAGGGTCAAATGACTGAAGAAATGACTAAATACAGCTACGCCATACATGCTGCTCTGATATTGTTGGGCCTGGTGCACCAGGTTTAGCAGATTACCGTTAGTATGCAAAAGTTTGCACTCCCCTGGACGGATTACATGTTTTTTTGAGCTTCTGAGTGAAGATAAGTTAAAACGTTCTTTTAGAGGGAACTTAAATACGGCATTTTCTGCAGATTTTAGTGCACATTTTCAGTTAAACACTGGAAAAACATTTATCATGTTGGACAAATAAAACATATAGTATAAAATGTGGCATAACTGGTTTGTTTTATCCCCCATCCCCCCAGTATGTTAAACTCAGAAATAATTTTGCATTGAAATGTGCAGAGGTGTGTTCTCTGTAGAGGGTCTTAACCTACTTTTACTTAAACTCAACCAAACGTCATTTGTCTGGGGGCGCCAAAACTTTTGCACGCCCAAAGAAGATCAAGCATCCTCTCGCCATCCGCTTACCTTGTGCTTCCACTCACTGGCCACTTTACAAACTCCACCCGCAGTACTGTGAAAAAGTAAATGCCCCATCTTAATTGTCTCTATTACTGCAGATCGTCGCTGTCCTAAGAAAAGCAAGTGTCTCCAAAATAGTAACTTTACAGGAGAGGGCAAAACGTTCTTTGCTTTCAATGTAAGTTAATGGAAAGAGTTTTTATTCTAAGCAGTTTTGGAGTATTTCTATTGGTCCAATGATCATGAAATTCTCACACAATGTAAAGGACGGCTGCTGAGCTCAAACGATGCAGAAAAGTAAAAATCGCAAAAAATGGAGATACATGTTTTTCACTGGACAGCGACGATATGTCACAGCAAATGCTTCTAAAATGTAATATTAAACAAAGAGGATCTTTTCAAACTCAAACACATTTTTAAATTAGTGTTTATGCATTTTTTTTATTTTATTTAAGGAGCTACCCAACATGCAAATCACCCATGTGAAGGTTAACTGCCCCCCTTTACTGCTCAAGCAAATTAACCAAATTTAATTGATAATGAGATTCAGCCGACTGAACACAGTCAGGCTTGAGTATAGCTGGTCCTTCTGGATGTAAACCTCGCTCATATTCAAGTTTATCATCAGAGTGATGTGGTTGCCACATCGTTTTAACTACACCGTGATCAAAACTGAATCCGAAAGAGCTGAAAAATAGCTGTTTGAAATGTATCAGTCTGGAAAAGGTTACAAAACCATTTCTAATGTTCTAGGACATCCACTGTGAGAACCTACAGATTGAGTGTTCCCCCAGACAAGGATTAAGCCTAGCCTTGGCAGTAGGAAAATGGCCTGTATTGTTTAGAATTAAGCCAGAGCCTTTTGGCTCAGCCTCCACTAGAGGGCAGTGTGTCATTGCTACTGTGAAGGCCTAACTTTGAGATACAGGACTACGAGCCTGAATTCTGAAATTTGGGCTTTTGCATCATTTTCACTTGTCAATAATGAGGGCATACTGTGAGTTAGCTGGTAAATCATCATGAGAAGAGTGAAAACGCGGGCAAAAAGAGATTAAGCAGGATAAACTCAAGGGTTTCAGCCACTGTTACTGCAGTACTTGGGTGGAAAATCAAATGTGCACAAATTCCCCCCTTAAAACAAATGTAGTTCACCAGCCATGCAGGTCACGAAGGCTCTGAAGTTTGCTTCTTTGGTTTTGTGCTGGAGCTACAAGGCTAACAACCCAGCGAACACACAACATTGTCACAACATTGTCTACTTTCTTACAGTGTTGCTGCAACATTGTCAAAAGGTGGTGCTGTTTACCTCGTCTGGACAAGGTTGTCACAACATGGTCACAACCTGATTAATCAGTAATGCTGTCACATACAGTGTTATGACTACCTGTCGCAAAATTCCATGCAGTTCCATAATGGAACTTCCCTGATAGCAAGAGGATAGTGGGCCACTGTTTGCCCGCTGATGGCAAGGCTGGTGGTCCACTGGCGTTTTGCTCTGTGTTTTCTGGGCGGACCACCGGCGTTTAAGCAGAGTATTACAAAAAATTCCACTTATCATCGCTCATTTTCCACTAACAGTCCAATTTACTTATTTTTCCTTTAGTTATACTTTATAAATTACTTTAGTGAAGAATTTTACTGTAGCTCAGCGTCGGCAACAACATTTTTTATAAAATCATTTTATGTCAGGCCTAGTTATCATTTTTGTTCTCTCAGTTGTTTGTAATATTTGTTTAGTTTCTAAAATAAAACTCTCTGTGCATTTAAAATCTGTTTGAGGAGAATAAAAACTAGTTAGAGCTTGTATGCAGGACAGTAATCCGGGTGGTCCGAGGGTGGACCAGCAGTGGCAAACAGTCAGCGGGGTGCCGACCTTATCAAGCCAGCTGACCGATATATGCTCGCTGTCTGGGTTATGAGGATTCTGGGAGGTACTGACAACGTTGCCACTATGTTGTCACAATGTTGTCAGATAACGTTGTCACAGTTTTCTGAGGAATTACGTTTCAACCTTGTGACAACGTTGTGGGCAGCAAAATAATAGGTTGTCACAACATAACTATGTTTGCTGGGAAGTACTGGAGTCTTATACCACTCCTATTAGCACGGTGCTAACAGCACCATCATCACGCACATTAAACCGTGTGGCGTCTCATATAGACTTAGATTATGTGGACACTGTATGAAATATCTATAAATAATATCTATAAAAATAGAAGGGTCATTCTACAGAAACGTCCATTTTTGTGTCCCTAGTGTTTACAGATATATTACATTTGAAAAACGTTAGGGTTACAATTTATTTATATTTTAAAACAAAACAATAAGTTATTTTAACAGTTACACCTTCTTGAGCCTCAATTTAGCAATATTGGTTTTTAAATCAATTATATAGAATTCCAAGCACCACAGAAGAGCTTGTCCTCACAGTTATGTGTGAAGGCTGAGGCCATATTTTGAAGTAAAACCATGTTTTTCTGCTATTTTAACTGCAATAATCTCTACATGACTGCAAAATATATGAATTAAATGACATAAAGAAAACAAATTTCAAAATAAATATTATAAAATATATAATGAAGTTGTTGTCCCCAGGAGTCGTGTCACTGGTGTTACCTCATAACAAAAAATCTCTTATTCTGAAATAAAAATCACACTGATGACATCACTCGACTTCCTCTTACCTATTCTCTGAGGATCTATGAAGAAAAGCACATGGTGAGTCCACTGTGTCTTTCAGTTATCAGAGATTTTCTCATTTAGCTCATGATTTCATATGAAGCTTTTAGCTGAAGTCTCTGGTGTGACCGACTTTATTCTGAGGTAACTGTGAAAAAATAGAACACAAATGGATTAAATTCCATATTTTTGTGGATATTCCATGATTGACAACATGTGGTTTGATGGTCTGTAGCAGCCGTTTTGTAAAATGCATTGTTCATTAAAAATGTCTCTGGTGTTACCTTTCTTAGGATCGGTGACTATGGATAGATAGAAAAGTGGACGTTTCGGTAGAATGACCCAGAAATAGTTGTAGCAGTTACCAAAAAGTCTGGTAAATTAGAGCAAACACAACTAATTCAGTAGAAATCTGTTGTTTGAGCCAGACCTTTCCAACATAAATATGCAAAAATATGTAAATCATAATAAATATAGTTAGTGAAGAGATTCAGCACAGTAAAATTTAAATATATATAGATATCTACTGAATGTTTTTGATCCATCTTTGAATAAAACATTACAAAAAATGTTTTGAAATGACATATGGAGACTTAAAAAGACGTAAAACTAACCCCCCCGTGTGGAGGCTGTACTTTAGCATGGCCAACTCTCACTATGAGTTATTATATGGTGCTATGTTACAGCCAATAAGAGGGCGATTAAAACAGTTTTTAACTGGGCTGGGGCATTACCGTTGGCTTGGCATTTGGTGGAATTATCTGTGCACTGTGGTCTACGATCACCACCACAACCTTACACAGCAGGACTGAGAGATACCTGCGGCATGCAGTCTAGTTACGATTATGTAAGTCATTCATCCAGCGGTTTAGGCGCATGTGAAATGGAACCACATAAGCAGAAGTGGGCAAAGAAATAGTACGAGTGGGAAAAGCTTCTGTTCCAATGGTCACTTTTGTTTTGATGGAGCAGAGAGACAGTTCCTAATGAACGGGGTTGGAGTGAGTAAGGGGTTTAGCAGGAAGTCCACAGCGGGGAAGTGAATGTGATTATAAATGGTGGTTATAAATGCAAAGAGCTGAGCCAACTCTTTGTTTTCACTTACACTGTACCATTCACAGTCAAAGGCCTCTTTGTACTGTGCCGCTCCGCACTGCTCAGCTGCTCAACACATTCAGTTCTGGGTGCTACTCCAGCACCAGTCACTTGATTTTGTGCTCTTGGAGTCTTTATTCTCTGAACAGGTGCGAGTGTCAATTAGCTGGAACCGAGCCTGCACTGCAGTGGGTGGAACCTTTAGCCTGCTAAGCTTACGTTACACTGCTGCCAGTCTAACCCTGCAGGCTACAGCTTAAAACACTACAGAACTGGTTTGATTCCAGCTTTCTGTCCCTCCAACACCAGTCACTCAACTTTGTCTCTCAGACATGAGTTTCTGTGCTTGAAACAGCAGAGCAGACTGAATTGAACCGTCTGTGGTGCTTGGAATTAAAGGCCGCTAGACAGGCTAACTAGGCTAGAGGAACCGGTTAATATAAACCTAGCTAGTAGGCTACGGATCCAAACACCACAGAACGGGTTTGATTTTGGTTTTCTGTCAGTCCAACACCAACGGCTCGACTTGAATCCTCAGATTCGAGTCATAATCATCTAAACTTATAGCTTCTGTTAGGCAGAATTGAACCTGTTACATGGTGAGGAGAGCTGATAGCACTCTGGCTAAGCTAATGCTAACCAGCTCCTCTGTTCTAGTTAGCAGAGCCTTTAACCATTTAACAATTGTTGTTAGATTAATGCTTTTAACATTTACTGAACGGTAGATTGGAAATCTTGCCCTGTTGTCATTTATTTGACGACTGTGTTGAAAAAACTGTCCTAAGCACTGTTTATAACTGTTCCAGTGGCATTTTTACTCGAACCTGCAGTGGCTCCTAATACAATACCAGTCAAGGGTTGGACATGTCCACTCATAGAAAGGTTTTTCTTTCTTTCCAAAGTTTAGAATAATAATGAATAGTTTAAAACTATAAAATAACAATCCTCTAACCCAAAATATTGGCCTTCTGTCAAATATGGCTACTTATACCCCATATATCAACAACGCACCCGACTGGCTCAACGACATTGATGAGCGCATACATGTCACATTTAACAAGGCATCTATAGTAATAATTGTGGTTCAATGTTTTCCAACCCTAAAATTCACAAGATTTAACTAAAAAACACTTCTAGGTGTATTTTTTAAAAATGTCTATTTTAATATTAAGTGCATTAATTAAGTGTAGGTGTTTCTAATAAAGTGGCCAGTTAGTGGAAGCATAATTTAGGTGTTTCTAATAAAGTGGCCAGTTAGTGGAAGTATAAGGTATGTGTTTCTAATAAAGTGGCCAGTTAGTGGAAGCATAATTTAGGTGTTTCTAATAAAGTGGCCAGTTAGTGGAAGCATAATTTAGGTGTTTCTAATAAAGTGGTCAGTTAGCGGAAGCACAATTTAGGTGTTTCTAATAAAGTGGCCAGTTAGTGGAAGTATAAGGTATGTGTTTCTAATAAAGTGGCCAGTTAGTGGAAGCACAATTTAGGTGTTTCTAATAAAGTGGTCAGTTAGTGGAAGCACAATTTAGGTGTTTCTAATAAAGTGGCCAGTTAGTGGAAGTATAAGGTATGTGTTTCTAATAAAGTGGCCAGTTAGTGGAAGCATAATTTCGGTGTTTCTAATAAAGTGGCCAGTTAGTGGAAGTATAAGGTATGTGTTTCTAATAAAGTGGCCAGTTAGTGGAAGCACAATTTAGGTGTTTCTAATAAAGTGAAGTCTATTTTAAGCAGATCTGATGTTATTTTCATAGTTAAGATCTAACATTAAAAACACGTATCACTTTTTGCTATTTAAAACAACTGAGAAAGACCAATGGCATTATGGGAATAAACACTTACAGACAGTGCAGATCAGACTGAGATGATTTCATACAGCGCTGCTATTTTTGGGTCTCATCCATCGTTTATTTTTAACCAACTCATTCCTGAAATAGATTCTTTGTTCTTGGGTTTCAGGCTTCAGAATGGGGTGAACCTGCAGATGTGTTTTGTGAACGACAGCAGCAGTGATAAGGACAGCGATGCGGAGGACAGCCGGACAGAGACGAGCCTGGACACACCCTTGTCTCCAATGGTACCTGCTTGACTATTAAATGAATATGGGAAACTTTATGCCTGCATGTAAAGGTGGGCAATATGGCAAACATTTACCATCATGATAATTAAAGACGGTTTCTCAATACACAGTACGAAGCACGTTATTTCGCTTGTCTGAGGTTTGATTAGTTGAAAATACAAAAATTATATCATATTATATTTATATTTACCAAAATACCTACAGAGTGCATTTCCTGAAGAAATTGCAGTGATTGTGCAGCTTGGTCAGTTTCCAGACGGTTGCTAGGGTGTTGCCAAAAGGTCAATATAAAGTCAATTTTAGGAGGTCACTATGTTATTTCTAGTGGTTGCTATGGTACCCCAGATTGTGTGTAAGGTATTACTAGGTGGTTGCTGTTATCCCAGGTGGTTACTAGGGTGTTGTTAAAAGGTTGTTATGGTATGTCTGATGGTTGCTACAGTGTCCAATGAGGTTTCTAGGGTTTTGCTAGGGGGCTGCTATGGTATCTAAAGTGGTTGCTAAGGTGTTGCTAGGTGGTTACTATGTTATCCCAGGTGGTTGCTAGGGTGTTGCTGAAAGGGTTGTTATGGTATGCCTGGTGGTTGCTACAGTGTCCAAAGTAGTTTCTAGGGTTTTGCTAGATGGTTGCTACGGTGTTGCTAGGTGGTTGCTATGTTATCCCAGGTGGTTGCTAGGGTGTTGCTGAAAGGGTTGTTATGGTATGTCTGGTGGTTGCTACAGTGTCCAAAGTAGTTTCTAGGGTTTTGCTAGATGGTTGCTAAGGTGTTGCTAGGTGGTTGCTATGTTATCCCAGGTGATTGCTAGGGTGTTGCTGAAAGGGTTGTTATGGTATGTCTGGTGGTTGCTACAGTGTCCAAAGTAGTTTCTAGGGTTTTGCTAGATGGTTGCTAAGGTGTTGCTAGGTGGTTGCTATGTTATCCCAGGTGATTGCTAGGGTGTTGCTGAAAGGGTTGTTATGGTATGTCTGGTGGTTGCTACAGTGTCCAATATGGTTTCCAGGGTTTTGTTGGTGCACTGCACACTTGCATTTTTCTCTGAATTATTAATTTTACATAATTTACAGGTGTTTCTAGTTACAAATAGCATGGAGAAACTAAAAAATGAAACAAGAAGGCCTGGGTGAGCAGAGTATAGGCAAGATGACCAACTGTACTGACCAGTGTGGAGCTCTTGTTATCTCCTGATTCCAGACGTGCTTCACTGTCTCTGTCTGTGTTTCCTGCTCAGAGTAAGCAGAGCTCCTCTCTGTCGGACCGGGACACGGGGGAGGAGGACCTGGAGCAGGAGGACTGTGAGTTTTGGCGAGTGCAGCGGCGGCTGCAGGAGGAGGCGCGGGGGGCGCTCGCTCTCGCCCGGCCCATGGCCCGCATGCAGGTGGAGGTGGAGCGACAGATCCAGCTGCACCGCAGATCCCCCGTGGCTGACCTGGTCAGCGCTACAACCACTCATTCAGTACCATTAAAAATGAAGTTCTAATAAAATTCACATCCAGAATGAAGTTATTATAAAATTCTAATACATTCTAATCAATCAGTGTCTAGAATAAAGTTCTAATAAATTAATATCTAGAATAAAGTTAATATCCTGAATACAGTTCTAATAAAATTAATATCTAGCATGAAGTTGTACTAAAATCAATATCCAGAATGAAGATCTAATAAAATTAATATCCAGAATAATGTCCTAATAAAATTTATGCCTAGAATGAGGTTCTAAAAAAACAAAAATCTAGAATAAAGTTTTAAAAACACTCATATCCAAAATGATAACAGTCTGTTTCAGCCACTCTGTCGTCCTCCATCATTGGTCAGTTTCTGACCTCAGAGATGCACTTGGCTGGATATTTTTGGGTGGTGGTCCACTCTCAACCTCAGCAACTCTGCTGTGTCTGATCCACTCGTACCAGCACCACTTCCACGCTACCATGCCACTGTCACTGCTGTGCTGAGAATGAGAACCACCAGATAACACCTGGATAACAGCTATCCTGTGGTCAGAAACTGACCAGTGATGAATGAGGTAGAGGGGCCTGATAAACTGTGCAGCTAGAGAGCTACAGTCTGTAATCGTACACCTGCATAGTGGACCTCTAAGGACTGACCAACCCGATTATTTCTTTGACGTCACCTAAACACCTTAAGTCAGCTCTGTGACATTTAGGAAATGCCCACACATGTTTTCTTTATCTGGTGGCAGTTTTGGTTTGTTGCCTTTTCTGCTCTTGAAGTGTTTCTCATAAAGGCTCCAGTGACTGGAAGTGCAGGCGTTTCTAATAAAGCAGATGGACTACATTCCCATAAATAATGAGCTTGAAATAAAGCCAAGCTAATGTGATGCTGATCCTGCTGAGTCACAGGACTCAGATGATTCACAGGAAGACTTAAAAAAGAAGAAATGTGTGTAGATGGTCCTGTAATGACTGAGAACCCTGTAGAACATCAAGAATAAAGTTTAAATAAAATTAATATCTAATTGAAATTTTAATTAATGCCCAGAATAAGTTCTCATACAATTAATAAGTTCTAATAAAATTAATATCCAGAATTAAGTTTTAATAAAGGTAATATCCAAAATTAAATTTCAATAAATTAATATTCAGAATGAAGTTCTAATAAAAATAATATTCAGAATGAATTTCGAATAAATAAGTTCTAATAAGTCAATATCCAGAATAAAGTTCTAATGAAATAATATTTAGAATGAAGTTCTAATAAAATGAATAAGTTCTAATAAAATTAATATCCAGAATAAAGTTTTAATAAAATTTATATCCAGAATAAAGTACTAATAAATTATTATCCAGAATAGAGTTTGGATAAATTAATATTAATATTCAAAATGAAATTAATATTCAGAATGAAGTTGTAATAAAATTAATATTCAGAGTGAAGTTGTCATAAAATGAATATCCTGAATGAAGGTGTAAAAAACCTAACATGCAGAATAAGGTTCTAATAAAATTAATATCCAGAGCGAAATTAATATCCAGAACGAAGTTGTAAAATAATTTATATTGATGTTGTAACAAAATTAATGCCTTGAAAAAAGTTCTAATAAAATTAATATCCAGAATATAGTTGTAATAAAATGTATATCCAGAATAAAGTTGTAACAAAATTAATATCCTGAATGTAGTTGTAATAAATTAATATCCAGAGCAAAATTTAAATCCAAAAATTAAGTTGTGATAAAAATTCATATGTTGAATAAAGTTCTAATAAAATTAATATCCAAAATGAAGTTCTAATAAGATTAATAACCTGGATGACATTTTAATAAATTAATATCTTGAATGTAGTTGTAATAAAATTAATATTCAGAAATGAAGTCCTAATAAAAATAATATCCAGAATAAAACTTTAATAAAATTTTAATCCAGAATTAAGCTGTAATAAAAATTCATACGTTGAATGAAATTCTAATAAAATGAAGTTTGTTCTCCAGAATGAGGTTCTAATAAGAATAATATCCTGAATGACCTTCTAAAAGATTAATATATTCAGAATGAAGTTGTAATAAAATTAATATCCAGAATAAAATTTGAGTAAAATTAATATCCAGAATGTGTTGTATTTAAAAAGTAATTAAATCTTGAAGCAGATAACTTGACAGGTAATTATTATCAATAAGTAATATTAATACACTATATTATTAATCAGTTAATAGCTTCTTCTTCCAAAAATGCTTGAAATATTACATAATACAGCTTGTCATGTCTAGTTTGATATCCAGTTTATAATGTTTGAATCCACATTGTGTTTAAAATGAAATTAAGATGAATATGAGTGTTTCCATATCTTTTCTAGGTGAGGACTGAGAGGTTAAAGTGGCCTGTATGTTTCTCATAAAGCAGTCAGTGAAGAGAAGTGTGAGGTCATTGTTTGTGTACAGGGCTCATATTTTCTGTGGTGGTTTATTTACTCTGAGGTTTGAGTCAGTTGTCCAGCCTTGTCTCATGAAGTTCTTCAGAAAGATGAGGGCAATTTTCATGGGCTTCACCTCAGTTAAGTCATGAGAGGCGTTTTAACACCACGTCCACCCTTCGCTCTGACCTTGATTGTTTTCTTTTAATTAGCTGGATTCATATAAATTCCTGTGAAGTTGCAGCCACAGGAGAAACCCCACTTTCTCTGAGGGAGCGTTAATGAGCATGACTGTTCAGCGCTGGGCTCAGTGACGCGCTGACCACTGAGAAAGTGAAAGAAGAGAGGCAGTCCCAGGAGGCCACACATAGTCATGAGTGCTGCTCAGCACGACGGGGCCTCCCATCCCCCCTGCACTCGCACCACTTTCTATGAATGGGAGAACTTCTCTGTGTCCCTTGTGCAATTAGAGAACTTTCGGTGATTGTTGTTTATTTCCACAACAAAGACCCCACTGTGTCTGCCTTTCCACGAAATGAACCATATCTGTGAAGAGTGCTGGTGCGGTGGACGAGTTCCAGCGCTTCTGCTTTTCTAGTTTTCATATTATACGCAGAAAAACCTCAAGGTCATTCTCTCAAACCAGACTACTGTTAGAGCAAACTGGGCATTTCTTTACAGTACTGAGGCTGACCTTTACAGTGCTGAGGCTGACCGCTTAATAAAGCTGATGTCACACCGCACTGATCTTGAATGTGAGATTAAGTTAAAAGTTAACACATTCATTATGGAGCACTTTTTAATACACAAGTACTGTTTATTTACTAAATTGAATAACATAAATGTGGCCTGTGAAAAGGATGCAGGACAGTTGCTAAGGTGTTGCTAGGCTGTCTCAGTTATATCCCAGGTGGTTGCTAAGGTGTTGCTAGGCCACTGATATGCTGTCCCAGATGGTTGCCAATGTGTTGCTAGGCCGTTTCAGTTATATCCCCGGTGGTTGCGAAGGTGTTGCTAGGCCGGTTAAATGATATCCAAGGTGATTGACAAAGTCTTGCTAGGATGTTGCGATGATATCCCAGGTGGTTGCTAAGATGTGCTAGGCTGTTTAAATGATATCCCAGGTGGTTACTAAGGTGTTGCTTGACTGTTTCAGTGATATCCCAAGTGGTTGCTAAGGTGTTGCTAGGCCACTGCTATATTATCCCAGCTAGTTGCTAAGGTGTTGCTAGGTTGTTTAAATGATATCCCAGGTGGTTGCTAAGGTGTTGCTAGGCTGTTCAAATGATATCCCAGGTGGTTGCTAAGGTGTTGCTAGGCTGTTCAAATGATATCCCAAGTGGTTGCTAAGGTGTTGCTAAGCTATTGCTTTGGTATCCCAGGTGGTTGCTAATGTGTGTATATTTGTGTGCGGGTATTTATGTTAGTCTGTAATGTCTATGAGGGGCAGTGTGTGACCCCAAAAAGCATAAGCAAACTCAAAAACTGTGCCAAAGTAACAGAACAAAAAAATAGAATAATAACGATAAGAAGAGGAAGATTAATTAATTATAAAGCACTTTTCATACAAGTAGCAGCTCAGACTGCATTAGACAGATCATAAAGTTCAACACTTATAAAAGAAAGTAGATTTGGTCATTTTCGTCCATTACGATTACTATAAAATGTGTTCTGAGAGTTCGTTGTTCATTTGTTTCAGTTGCCACACCTGCCCCACATCAGTGAAAGTTTGATGAAGAGGAGCCTGAGGCCCGTGGACCTGAGGGACATGAGTCTGGGTCAGCTACAGGTCATCACGAACGACCTCCACTCACAGATTCAGAGTGAGCCCAGGCCTCTGCTCACTGTTCATACTCAAATGCACACAGACACAATGAACCTGTTTGTAATTCATTCGCAGGGAAACACCTTCCAAGTCCCACATGTCATATATGCCTTGAAACACTTCTTCTTCATGTTTCTTGATTTAACCTCTTAAAATCTCAGGCTTATTACAATGTAAAGTTTATCACTCAGTAACTACATGGACTGCAGTGCAAACTGCCTCACTTATTCCTAGCTTATAGAGATGTGTAATTAAAGTTTGCCTGGTTCTGGCCATTTAATGGGTTTACATTATTTCTCACTCGTAGCTCATTGAGACAAGCGGAGCAATGTTAAAAGTGCAGATTCTAAACTTTCAATCCACGCTAAATTTTCTTTGTAATTAAAGGAGATATTTTATTATGATTTGGATTTGATGAACACTTTTTGGAAAGAAAAAAAACTTCCTTTAAAGCGGAAAAAGTCAGAAGTGTGGTCGAGCCTCTCATTAACAGAATGTGAATGTACTTCACTACATAAATGTGCATGTCATTAAATATGCAATTGTGTAGCTATATTTCACTAACATAGCAAAATCTCCGAGCATTTTTGAGGGAGTTAACTGTTTGTATGCTATATGGCCAAAAGTATGTGGACATCCCTCCTAATTATTGAGTTAAGGTGTTTCAGCCACACGCATTGTTAAAAGGTGTATAAAATCAAGCACATAGCCTTGCAGTCTCCATAGACAAACACTGGCAGTAGAATGGGTCAAATTAAAGAGCTCAGTGACTTTAAACATGGCACTGTCATAGGATGCCTTTGCCGCAAGTCAGTTTGTGAAATTTCTCAACTGTAAATGATTTTGTAGTGAAATGGAAGCATCCTGGATCAGCAACAGCTCAGCCACGAAGTGGTAGACTACACAAGCTCACAGAGCGGGACGGCTGAATTATAGAGTTCCAAACTGCCTCTGGAAGCAACACCAGCACAAGAGCTGTGTGTCGGGAGCTTCATAAAATGGTTTTCCATGGCTGAGCAGCTGCGCGCAAGCCTAAGATCACTATGCGCAATGCTAAGTGTTAGCTGGAGAGGTGTAAAGCACACTGCCACTGGATTTTGGAGCAGTGGAAAAGTGTTCTCTGGAGTGATGAATCACGCTTCACTATCTGGCAGTCTGTTGGACTAATCTGGGTTTGGTGGATGCCAGCAGAACACTACTGATCAGAAAGCATAGTGCCAACAGTAAGTTTGGTGGAGGAGGGATAATGAGGGGCTGGGGCTGTTTTTCAGGCCCCTTAGATCCAGTGAAGGGTGATGTTAATGCTGCAGCATACAAGGACCGAAACGCTGATTGCGAGTCAGGCCCTCTCGTCCAACATCAGTGCCTGATCTCACATTGCTCTTTTGACTGAACGGGCACAAATTCTCACAGAGACACTCCAAAATCTTGTGGTAAGCTTCCCAGAAGAGGATTTTACAGCTACAAAAGGGGGACAACTCCATTGTAGCACGTCATGCACTACACTGGGCTCAAGGACGACGCTGAAGGCAGGAGAAGCGTTTGCAACAGCCATGTTCTCTTTATTCACACAGAACAAGCAAAACCAGAACAAAACCACTTTTCAGTGGCTTTAGCTGGCTAGACTTTTCATCGGACGGGTCGCCACCTGCTACTCCTTAAGCTGCTTCCACTTCTTTTCAGCGTCCTGGCAGACAGCCTGCAGCTCCTGCCAGCTGGCCATGTGCAGGTGGACTAGAGTCTTGATGGCCTCCTCTTCTGCTGCGAAGACTCACTCAGTGTGTTGGCGTTCTCCTGCCGGTTTTCGGCACAAACTTTTCAGTGGCTTCAGTTTTCAGTGCCTCTTGTGGCCGGCCTCATCATCTCCCTCCTCCCGCCGTCACTCACGCTCCTCAGCACAGCTCAGGCTTTGCGCTCTATCCCCCACTCATTCGCAGTTCTCCTCGCGTCCTCGCTGGGCTTCATCCTCGCTGGGCATCGTCCTCGCTCGGAGTTCGGGCCTGCGGCTGTTATCGGGGGCCTGGGGGGAGGCGGGCGCATGCCATATCCATAATAATGTCTAGAGCATTAGAATGCAATGTCCAACAAGCTCATATAGGTGTGATGGTCAGGTGTCCACATACATTTGGTCATGTAGTGTATATTAGCATTTCTGATCAGGTCAGTATTCAGCAGTAAAAGCAATAATGGGAAAGTGTGACTTTGATTTGGTCGAAGCCTGAGATCTGACTCCTTATCTTTGTAGGTCTGAATGAGGAGCTGGTACAGCTGCTGCTGTTGAGGGATGAGCTTCATGTGGAGCAGGATGCAATGCTGGTGGACGTGGAGGACTTGACCAGGTCAGGGGTTGGCTAGAAAGAAGGATCCACTTCTAGTAGTTCTGTACCCTAGTCCTAAAACTTGCAGGATCACCCACTGTCAGAGTGAATGACTTAACCACTATGCTATAGAGCTGCTTACAAACTGCACACACATGCAAAGCTAAAAACTACACCCTTAAGAAGATAGTTCAAGTGTTCTTTCTTTTTTCTTTCTTTATATTTGTTAAATTTTTCTTTCTTTCCTTTTCTTGCTTCCTTCCGTTCTTTTTTCTTCCATTCTTTCTCTTTTTATTCCTTCTTTTTTGTCTATTTCTTATTTTCCTTCAGTGTTTCCTTGCTTCTTTCTGTCTGTCTTTCCATTTTTCTTGATATATTCTTTCTTTCTTTCTTTCTTTCTCTTTCCTTTTCTTGCTTTCTTCCATCCTTTTTTCTTCCAAGCTTTCTCTTTTAATTCCTTCTTTTTTGTCTATTTCTTCTTTATCTTCAGTCCTTCCTTGCTTCTACATACATACATAGTTTTTCCTTTCTTAGATTCCTTTCTTCTTTTTCTTCCCTCCTTCTTTTCTTTGTTTCTTTGTTTCTTCCTTTCTTTTTTTCTTTCTTTGCTATTTTATTATAAATTCTGTGACTTATTCCGAACAAATATAATTTTATCATATTTTCTTGCCTTGCAGGCACTGTGCTTCAGGAAGTGCAAATCTGGTTTATTTATTAACCCTTTCCTGATTTTCTTCACAGGCACGCACACAGTCAGCAGAGACACATGGCAGAGAAGGCCCTGGCCAAAAGGAAAGGCGCTTGCTCCCTGTGACCCCTCCGCCCCCCCTCCACGCCTCGCAGAGGCCTTCACAGCACGGTTATTGGGGTCAGAGCTGTTAGCACTACGTGTCGTGGTAGCGTACGCACCGAGGTTTCCTTTCTATCACAGTTTCTCTAGACGTGTGTCTATTTTCCCTTGTTGCAAGCTTTGTGTGGATGTATGTCGGTCAAACACGCTGTGAGCTTTCCTGCATGTCCACACCGCAGCAGAGGAACAGCCCCCTCTGTGTTAAGCCTGCGGGCACAAACCTAGCGTGCAAAGCTAAATGTTTAACAGCGCAGATCCATCCACTAGAGATGGATCCATAGGAATTGTGGGTGTTTTTATTCTCTTCGATATGTGATACCTGATTTCGAGGACTGCTTGTTAGTCATAAAGATTACAACGTTCTTATAACGTTCCTGCAGATTCTTCTTCAGCTCCTTTGCTTGCTAATGTTAACGTAGCTAGTGCAAGTATCTAAAGCAGGGTGAAGAAAATGCCGGCTAAAGTGAGACATACAGAACCAGCCATTCAACCCAAATCACATTTGACTTTAACTGAATCTGAATCAGGCCTTTCTCCATTAAAAGAAAGATAGTCAGATCAAAAGCAAGCACTTATTGGAGACGCTGTGGTGGCCAGATGTGGTAGTGGTTAACCTTTGTGTTCATAATGAACTATTATAGCAGTATTTTGAGAATGTGAACTTTATTTTTCATCCATTTGAAGGACATCATGAAGGTCTTACGAAGGTGCTCTTTCCAAAGGGTTCAATGTTGCAACATGACTGAAAACTTGGTGTACAGAAATGTTTAAAAAATGATAAATAAATGATTTACTTGCAAATATTACCTTTTCTTTGAGGTTATCGTTTTTCAGCAGAAGACCTTTCATTTATTGCATTTCCCGTCAAAGCGCCCATTATCACTCTGGGGTCCACAAACTTGCATCAAATCTGATGTTTCCATATATGTTTCAATATCTTTACACAATATGGTGCAGAAATACGGTTCAAACATTTACTGAATCTGTAGAGTCGCCCTCTCCACTCCATCTAATTCCGAGATCATATGCGACTCACATCTGGAGTTATGAGCCTGTGAAGAGGGGCTGAGATACATGTCATCTGCCTCTCACCATGTGGAACTGGTGGATTCGTGTGTCCGTCTACATCCTGTGTGAAACTGACCAATGGACACTCAGGACGTCACTAAACACTGACCGTCACGCCGGAAACCCTTCATTTTTTATTCAGTCCACATTGGAAACACGTGAAATGGCGTGCCGAGAGTTTACAGCTGCTGAAGTCACAGGTTTTGGAAAGTAGTGATTAAGATAACAGAGCATTTTGATATGAAACATATGAGGATCATGTTATATGAAGAGCCTTTAACCCCTTAACATCCCAGGCTTATTACTTACTAAGGCTTATTCTTCAGTACGACTTCAGTGCAAATCAATGAAGCTTTTCTTAGGTTATAGAAGTGTGTGATAACACTTTGGGCCCACTGGCAGGCTCATGGCTTGGTAAGGGCCTAAAGGCCAATTTAGGAAGACATGCACACTCTGAGGTGGTCGTCTCCTTTTCTCAGTGAGGTTCTTCTTGACAGCTACCCATCCTTTCAGACCCACAGCGCTGAGTCGTCTTCTCACAGTGGAAGGATGGACAGAAACACCTGTGGATGTTTTCAGATCTGAAGCAGCTTGATTTTCTCCTCTCTCTCAGAGATGAAAGCCTTAAGTGCTGTTTATCTGATGGGGAGAGTTTTGGGCTCTAGCAGGTCTTCCAGGTGGTTGTTAGGAGTCTCATTTTCTTTGTATTTTTTATTCAATTTTTGAAATCAAGTTTTGGAACTCTGTAATACATATAATACTGTAATACATCAGGGGAGTTTATTTATCAAATGATGCATAAATGTCCAAAAAGGCAAATGATACAAATGGCTGCTTGTGGTTGAACGCACTACCAGGCGTGTTGTGAACTACTATATCACTGAGGTTAAGTCTGGAGCATACGCTTCCCTTTTGTGGCCAAATTATATGAAACAGGATGTATAGCAGTACAGCGCACTTTCAGTCTTACTGTGAAGCCGCACTGGTATTTCAGTGACAGCGTGTGATAGCAGTATGACGTGGCCACTTAAACAAGACGTCCAAGAATAACTAGTGTAGAGTTTATACTGACATAAAATGAGACGTAATGGCCCTGTGATTTAAAAATGTGCATATTCTTGACATTTGTATACATGCATGTGTTATATATGATTATAGATTTCCTTTTTTACAGCTGCCTTAAAGTTAAACCGACCATATACTGTCACTATCAGACATAAATCTTGTGTCTCCAGAGTGGTAAATATATAATGTAAATAGGATTTGTTCTAGCTTATAATGCTTCCCAACTTGTAATAGATTCCTCACTTATAATGGAAGTTACTGTAGATTTTGGAGCTTTTCTATTGATACAGTCATCATGGAATTTTCACACAATGTAAAGGGCAGTGGGAACTTTCAAACTGTGTAAAAAAGTCTTCAAGTACAAGGTTCTGTCTTGTGTCCACACTCATTGTCCATTTTATCAGCTCCACTGAGCATATAGAAGCACTTTACAGTTCTACAGTTACAGACTGTAGTCCATCTGTTTCTCTGCATACTTTGTTACCCTGTTCTTCAACGGTCAGGACCCCCTCAGAACCCCCACAGAGCAGGTTTTATTTGAGTGGTGGGTCATTCTCAGCACTGCAGTAACACTGACGTGGTGGTGAGTTAGTGTGTGTTGCGCTGGTCTGAGTAGATCAGACACTCAGTGTCACTGCTGGACTGAGAACCAAAATTATCCAGCCAACAGCGTCCTGTGGGCAGCGTCCTGTGACCACTGATGAAGGACTGAGGATGACCAACACAAACTGCGCAGCAGCAGATGAGCTATCGTCTCTGACTTCACATCTACAAGGTGGACCAACAAGGTAGGAGTGTCTAATAGAGTGGACAGTGAGTGGACACAGTGTTTAAAAACTCCAGCAGCACTGCTGTGTCTGATCCACCTGTACCAGCACAACACACACTAACACACCACCACCACGTCAGTGTCACTGCAGTGCTGAGAATGACCCACCACCCAAATAGTACCTGCTCTGTGAGGGTCCATGGGGGTCCTGACCACTGAAGAACAGGGTAAAAGGGGGCTAACAAAGTATGCAGAAAAACAGATGGACTACAGTCTGTAACTGTAGAACTACAAAGTGCACCTATATAGTAAGTGGAGCTGATAAGAGGTGTACCTCATAAAGTGCTCAGTGAGTATGTCTATATATATATATATATATATATATATATATGATTACACTTTTTGTATAATAAGCTGACAAATCAAGGTAAAATAGAAACATCTACTTTGTATATTAGACAATGTCATTTCTGCTTGTTTTAAACAATTCAGAATTTTATATGCATTCATTTAATAATAATAATAAAAATAATAATAATAATAATAATAATAATATAGCCTTACAGTTGCTTAAAAAGCAATGCAAATTGTACAGTAAGCATACTGAGCAGGTAACCCAAGAAGTATTCAGATGAGTCATTCACGGTGTTTTTACAGGGTGGAGTGGACAAATATATAATATATAAACAAACAGACAGTATGAAGGGCAGTGCAGTATGTAAACAACACTATGTAAACAGGGTAAGGACTGAGCGCTTGAGTGGTTTGCTGATGAGCCAGTAATGAGGTTCAGTGAGAATCAGTGTAAACAGAGTTTGACATTGAACTGACCGAGAAGTGCGAATGATTAACGCTACAAATTACCTACAACAGTTCAACTCTGCCGATCCGCGAAACTCACATACAGACTTTTCTCCAGCAAGACGGCTCAAAATATTTACTGTATCAGCAATATTTAAACATTTTATGTAAACTTTAGTGCACAAATTCTATTTCACATTTCATATTTCTGTTTCACATATATGTAGAAAATACAATATAAAAGTGCAGTAAAACTGCAGAAGTGTGTTCTCCGTAGAGGATGTGCTAACTTATCTCAACAAAACGTCATTTGACCAGGGCGCCCAAATTTTTGGATACAGCGGGATTGACAGCACTGTGCAAAAGTCTTAGCCTCCTTTTGTCTGGGTATTAAAGATGTTTTTGTCAGGAAAAACACTATACAGCATTAGATTACACTGGGGTATAGCCAAGGGGTGGCCAGTGTGGCCAACGCCATCCTAGCTAACCAGTTAAGTGATCAGGGCCCATTGTGGCCGTGGAGGCCAGGCCCCCTTAAGTTTTCATAGACATATAGTCACATAATATGTAGATACTGACACAACTGTGCATCCCTGACTCACAGAGAGACCTATTTCTTACCAACATCCCTCACCAGTTAGCTTTTATCAGCACCACACAGACAGAACTGACTTCTATATATGCTGCTTATCCATCATAACTCATTTCAAATGGATCCTTTACAACCTGCATCATATATTCATAAAGCCTTAAATAGGGAGACTAATGTAAACATGTTGGTTAGGGTTAGATACTAGTCGGTGGAGTGGCATGCCTTGAGCGCATGGTAGCAAGTAAAACAAGCAAATTACATGGTTATTTTTATTAATTGAAAGTATTTATTGTATGGTGAGGCCTAATAATTCTTTTAGCACTGGGGCCCATGTGGCCCACTGCAAACATTTGTGCAGTAAAAGGTAGCATTCATTCATTTTCTAAGCCGCTTATCCTCCTGGGTTGCAGGGGAAGCTGGAGCCTATCCCAGCACGTATTGGGCAGAAGGCAGGAAACACCCTGGACAGGCCACCAAGTCCAGTACAGGGCAGACACACAGACACCTAGGGGCAATTTGCCATCTCCAACTGACCTTTGGACTGTGGGAGGAAACCCACACAGACACAGGGAGAACATGCAAACTCCACACAGAAAGGACCCTGGTTACCCGGCTGGGGAATCAAACCCAGGCCCTTCTTGCTGTGAAGTGACAGCACTACCCACTGCCCCTGGAAATAGGCAATAAATAGCAGCAATAAATTCATATTTTCAAAAATAGTTGAGGTTCTGTGAGCTGCTTAGAACAACGCAGGTTTGGCTTCCAGATTTCTCCTTGACACGACTAGCAGAATAAAATGACGTAGCCTTTGAAGTTGGTCACATGCAGTAACTGTCTTAGCTCTGTGAGTCACTGAGGTGCCCAACGTGGCCAGCTGAAAAGTTCCCGATTTTTCTTTCTGCTGAATTCCACAGCCAGACGGGCAGTACGCTTAGGATCCCTGCCCTGCCGCATTCCGAACTTCCACCAGTGACTTTTTTAGGTGTTTTTGAACATGAGAAGACGCAACGTTTTGGCCATCATCACTGACATCATCAGTAAAGCCACGATTCCCTCTCTTTCTCCATGCTCATTTCTCTTAGCGCTGCTGATGAGAGCTTCACCGGTTCTTGCAGTGGAGGTTCTACATTTCTCCTCTCAGAGTTTTCTATGAATGGTGAATCATCAGACTTTCACTTCTATGCTCTGTAGATTTACAACCTCTGCAGCTGTGATTCTGAGTTTCTCTTCACAGCTCGAATAATTTTCCGACTGTGCTTTTACTTGAATGACCCGGTTGTCACAAAACACTTTCTTTCTTTTTCAGTTTATCTCATACTGTTTTTTCAGTGACACAGTTACATTTGCAGTTCCAGATTACAGCTGAAATTCTGTACTATATTATTCGTTTTTTTAAAGTTATAAAGTCTTTAAAAAATATATTATATAAATCATCTAAAAATATTTAATAACTTTAGGTGTCTAGTTTACAATATTTAAATATATATAATATATTTCTGTATAATATAAATATATTTATATATGTAAAAGTTATTATTGTACATAAAATAACATTTATTAATATGATAAGGGATTCTCTACTTTTTTCTTTTTTCAACAATATAAATCTCAGTCTTCCTCTATATGTGCATATATATATATATATATATATATATATATATATATATATATATATATATATATATATATATATAGCCAATCCTTTTTATTCATAATAAAATAATTAATATGCCTTAAATTTGAGAAATGGTGATCAAATCCCAGTCTAGATAATGTCACAGCAAATTGTTGAATTGATATTTAAAATGAATGTTGAAATGAAAATTGCAGTGTATAATTAACAATATATATAATATCTCAAAATCCTCACAAGTATGTCAGGATATATACATCAGTATGCTAGTATATATGTGGGTATATATATATATATATATACATGTATACACAAAAAAATATTAGCAATGACAATTGCAGTATATAATTAACAATATATAATATCTTGAATTCCTTGGAAGATTGAACAAATAATAAACAAACAAATTTAAGAAATGGTGATCAAATCCCAGTCTAGATAATGTCACAGCAAATTGTTGTTAATAACAATGAAAATTGCAGTATATAATTAACAATATATATAATCTATATATAATAATAGTATATATGTGTGTGTGTGTGTGTGTATATATATATATATATATATATATATATATATATATATATATATATACGTGTGTGTGTGTATATATACATATATATACACACACACACAAAAACACATATGTATATATATATATATATATATATATATACTAGCATACTGATACATGTATTTATAGAAAAATATTCACAATAAAAATTGCAGTATATAATTTATAATATATAATATCTTGAAATGCTTGGAAGATTGAACAAATAATAAACAAACAAATCTTAATTTATTTTGGAATTTATATATACATTGTAAATACATTGTATAAGTTATAATTGTATTGAAAATAACAAAAAAAAGTTATAAAATGATTAACTGGTTAAGAACATGATTTTGACTCCACATGTTTCAGAAATCCTCACCAGAAAATGATACATAAGATCAAAGGAAATATACATATGTTCATGTGTAGCCAATTTATGCATGAAATATTTCATAAATAGTTGCAATAACAGTGTTTTGTGGTCATCTGCAAGTATCCTTTCGGAAATGCACTCAGCTCACCCACTGTGACAAAAGGAGACTAAAACTTGGTTGAGAGACAAGATTGAATAGGCAATATAAATATAATTTAATAATTATATTACAAATTTATACTTGAAATCTTCAAATTTACCATGCATGTGGCGTTAGCTAAGTAAAGGTAAGGTCAATAAAACAGGAGGGTTAACTAAAGTGATGATTGAACAAAAGTTTCTGAAAATATGAAGCCATGATGAAAGTGGTTCTGAAGGATGTTTCCTGAGAAAAGAGGAAATACTAAAGTGGCTCTTGCAAAAACCCGATGCGTGAAGTCTGGCCATACAAACCGAAACATGCGTTAATTCCCATTGCTGCATGGGCCCTGCTGCTGCATCGCATTTGATAATTAGCTGGAAATCACAACAGCTAGCCTTTGTTTCCTTTGGTTTCATCTGTAATAATGGGCTGCTGTCAGGCTAGGAAAGTCCCTCGAAGTGAAGTATATAAACACTACAGGATCAAGTGTGGCATGAAGAATTTGGAACACAACATCCTTTGTAGCCATGCTGACCACTGTGTACCACTGTAAGTAATAAGCTTGCACTTTTCTCCTCTCCTTCTTCTTCTTTTTCTACACTCTTTGAATCTGACATAGCTGAGTTCTTGTGGCTTTTCTACGGAGTCATGGTGTCAAAGTGCAGGGGACTAGATACGTTTGAATCCAGTGGGACCAGGTCATTCATGTTGAGGTTTGGCAGGGTTTAAACATCACTTCTAAAATATCTGTCAGGTACTTTTATTGCCTTAAACAAGTTTAAATCTGGCATACGTGAGGCATTTGTGCTGTTGGCACCAAGGTCTACAAGACTGAAGATAACTTAACAGTACAGCAGCAACAATGCTCTGTAATGTTCATGTAATATAAGCGGTCATTCTGACAGGCTGCAGTACACTGCAGGAACTGTAGGGGGCGATATGGCTCTTGTTGTTTCATTGAGCATAAACAAAAGAAATCTCCTCTCTTTTTGCACTGACTGAACTTTGAATGATGGTGACAAATGGAGAGGAAACAGCAAAAGGCATAATGACTTCATTAGTCTTGACTTCATTATTCAAATAATAGTTGATAGATTAACTATTTATGGAAATCAATAGTTTCACTGGTCTCCAGTGGGTGGCTAGGTTCAGACAGAATTTCAGTTCAGTCGGATTGGGACAGAATTTTGTTCAGCCTCAGTTAGGATCAGTCAGAATTTAGTCAGGAGTTTTGTGGGCCATAGTTGGTTCAGACTGAATTTTATTGGCGACAGTCGGTTCAGACTGAATTTTGTTGGGCTACAGTCGGGTTCAGACAGAATTTTGTGGGCTACAGTCGGGTTCAGACAAAATTTTGTTGGTTACAGTCGGTTCAGACAGAATTTTGTTGGCTACAGTTCGGTTCAGACAGAGATTTGTGGGCTACAGTCGAGTTCAGACAGAATTTTGTGGGCTACAGTCGGTTCAGACAGAATTTTGTTGGCTACAGTCGGTTCAGACAGAATTTAGTTGGGCTACAGTCGGTTCAGACAGAATTTTGTTGGCTACAGTCGATTCAGACAGAATTTTGTTGGTTACAGTCGGTTCAGACAGAATTTTGTGGGCTACAGTCGGTTCAGACAGAATTTTGTTGGCTACAGTCGGTTCAGACAGAATTTTGTTGGTTACAGTCGGTTCAGACAGAATTTTGTGGGCTACAGTCGGTTCAGACAGAATTTTGTTGGCTACAGTCGGTTCAGACAGAATTTAGTTGGGCTACAGTCGGTTCAGACAGAATTTTGTTGGCTACAGTCGATTCAGACAGAATTTTGTTGGCTACAGTCGATTCAGACAGAATTTTGTTGGCTACAGTCGATTCAGACAGAATTTTGTTGGCTACAGTCGGTTCAGACAGAATTTTGTTGGCTACAGTTGGGTTCAGACAGAATTTAGTTGGCTACAGTCGATTCAGACAGAATTTTGTTGGCTACAGTCGATTCAGACAGAATTTTGTGGGCTACAGTCGATTCAGACAGAATTTTGTTGGCTACAGTCGGTTCAGACAGAATTTTGTTGGCTACAGTCGATTCAGACAGAATTTTGTTGGCTACAGTCGGTTCAGACAGAATTTTGTTGGCTACAGTTGGGTTCAGACAGAATTTAGTTGGCTACAGTCGGTTCAGACAGAATTTTCTTGGCTACAGTCGGTTCAGACAGAATTTTGTGGGCTACAGTCGGGTTCAGACAGAATTTTGTGGGCTACAGTCGGTTCAGACAGAATTTTGTGGGCTACAGTCGGTTCAGACAGAATTTTGTTGGCTACAGTTGGGTTCAGACAGAATATTATCAAGCTGCAGTAGGACTGGGAAAGAATTTAGTCAGGCTACAGTCGGGTTTATACAGAATTTAATCAGTTGGATTGGAACAATATTAGCTGGGCTATAGTTGTGTCTAGAATTTAGTCAGGCTAAAGTCAGACTGAAAGAATTTTGTCAGGGTGCTGTCAGGTTCTGACAGAATTACTGTCGGATTCGGCAGAATGTTATCAGGCTACAGTTGGACTGGGACAATTTAGTTGGGCCACAATCGTGTTCAAACAGAATTTAGTCAGGTTAGTGTTCACACAGACATTTGCAGGCTATTGTCGGGTACACTCAAAATTTAGTTGGGCTACAGTTGGGATGGAACAGAATTTAGCCCAGCCATAATCGTGTTCAGAAATTAGTCAGACTACAATTCTCAGTTCTCAGACAGTTTTGTCAGGCTACAGTCAGGTTCAGACAGAATTCTATTGGGCTACAGTCAGAATTTAGTCAGGTTACATTTGGATTGGAACAGGATTAACAGGCATGCCCAGACAGAATTTTGTAATAACACAGTCTGTGTTCACACAGAAATCTGCAGGCTGTTTTCGTTTCAGACAGAATTTATTCAGACTACAATCGGTTCTCAGACAGAATTTTGTTGGGCTGCAGTCAGAGTCAGACAGAATATTATGAGGCTACAATCGGACTGGGACAGAATTTAGTCAGGCTACAACTGGTTCTCTGAATTTTGTCAGTCTGCAATTGAGATAGGACTGAATTTAGATGGGCTGCAGTCAAGTTTAGACAATTTAATCAGGCTACAGTCAGGTTTAGACAGAAATTAGTCTGGTAACAGTCAAATTTAAAAAGAAATTTGCAGGCTACTTTTGGATTTAAACAGAATTTTCTTTGGCTACACGTTTTATCAGCAGAGAACATCCTTCTACACTTGGGTTTAGTTAAAAAACTCAGAGCATAATTGCAAAACTCTGGTGTGGTTTCTTTGCAGGCTCCCTCCTTCTGCTCCTCTCTTCCTCATGGTGGCTGAGCGCTCCAAGTCCAGTCCCGTCGCTTCAACTTGATGGAAGCACATGCAAGGGCCTTGCACGCTCTCTGCTCTGGAACGTGACGGCAGCGCTGACAGTTGTGCGTGGGGCCGAACTTAAACGATATCTTTTTAGAAATGTGTGTCTGATGGGAAAAGCATAAAGTTAAATGCAACTGTGTTGCCTGTGTACAGGACCACCTGTTCAGAGGGCTGAACTGCACGGAGCAGAGCGCTGAGCTGCACCTCAGGACCCAAACATTAGCTGTGTGCATGCCACAGGTGAGGAAAGTCGGAACAGGAGGGGAAACCCCGACAGGCCACATATTTGCTGGATGCTACATTCTTTGTTTACATGGCTCAGGTGTATTTGGAGCTGGAACAGAATAAAAATGTGGATTGGATTGAGGGGTACAAGGACCGGATTGAAAACCTTTGTGGGGTTTTTTGGTACAGATTAAGACTAGACTACCTTAAAGTTCCATTTTAAGTCTAAATTGATTAACACTCTGTTTAAATTAGCATTTTTACTGCTCTCATTAACATTTGTAGCGATGGTAGCTTTTGTGCCGATCTCTTTTTCTCAACCGTGCTTCAGATAAATGTACTGCAATTCAACTTCATAAACAGCCTATAATCATTGTCTTATCTTCATGTATATCAATGAATACAGTAGACCAAATACATGAAATATAAACATATCTACCCTTCATTCAACAGAACTCAAAATGCTCAGCGGACAGCGGAGACTTCACGTTCGATCAGGTATGCTGTTTAGTCTGACTTGAACAAATCCCAGTTTATCTTGACATCCCTCATGTAATAACCCAAATATCCCCTGTAGGACAAATGCCTCCAGAGTGTTCTGGAAGATCTCAGGCAGTACCGGGCAACCTTTAAAGCTTACAGTGACCGAGACCATGTCCTGGAACAGTCAGTGCTCAGGAGCATTGATGACCTCATGCAGGTATGAGCTGGATATTAACAGCTTAAATATGTGAATTGGAAAAGGCTTGCTCTGCAGGCTGATACGGTGCAGTTTGGATATGCTTGGTTATTTTGTACACCTACCATATAGGTGCACTTTGTAGGTTCACCGTAGCCTGATACCAGCACAACACCTGCAATTATGCCCCTACTACCACCCACAATACTGGTTTTAACCCCCTAAAATGACCCTGTCAGGCCCAAAGTTTTATTATACACTTCTATAACCTAAGAATAGCTCAACCAGTTTGCAATGAAGTCCCTGTAGTTACTGAATAATAAGCCTTAGTATGCAATAAGCCTTGGATTTAAAGCGGCTAACAAGCCCTCGTCCACTTGTCCTCACCATTCCCCCTCATGGGAATCCCCGACGCCATCTTAAGGGCTGTTCCAATGCTTTATTAGCTCAAGTGAAGTTTCTTAGACGAGCCCTCGGAGGGGCGAAGGATTGACTGAACACAAGTGTCAACTTTAGCAGCAGAATGTGCCCAGAAATCATTGCGACCTGACATATTTCCCATTTCAAAAAAATTCCCCAAATAATGGTGGACAAAGCTGTTTATAAGCTATAGCAATAAAGTACTTTATAATGCTTAACACTGCAAAAACGTTGCATTCGATTTGCTGGGCTTTAGATTGCAAATTACTCCATCTTTCAAACTGAAACAACATGACTTCACTTGGCTAGTTTGCTAGTTAGCATGCTAAAGGCTACAGAGCTAGCAACAAATGCACTACACCATGGTTCTACACCACAGTATAGCCGGACAAAGCAGGTATTCAGAAATTGTACATACATTATGTCATGTTATGTTCAAACTTCTCAAAAAACGTTTTGCATTATAAAGTTATCTGGTTAGCTCACTGAGGCTATCCTACCGGTACACGGTCGGTGCTGCTGAGGAGGACTCGCTGTCTCCTCAGTGGACGAAGAGACAACATGTTAGTCTGTCGGTGAAATATATTTTCACTATTACCGAAACTAACGTTAGCTAATATCAGCTGGAGGAATTATTTACTTCAGTTAGCGATAAAGCTGCCCTTCTCAGTCTCATCCTTAACAACATGCTAATGTTAAGGCTCTTGTGTATCAGAGAAGCTAAGTACAATACAGCCTACTAACTCACGAGTACAAGCAAAACAGTCACATTTACGGTCCTGTTAAAAATGCCAACTGTGTTTTGTGAATTTCAGTGAATAACCTGTTTATTTGTCTCTGGAATGAAATGGAATAAACACCCAAATAGTCATTTTAGTGTTAAAATATTGGCATCCGTAACTGAGTACCTGAGTACACGTGCTTATTCCTAATACTCACAGCTTCATGATGAAACTGAAATATTCATTTTTCATTTTCTTTATGCTCTTTTTGTACAAATCTGTACAAATTCCAGAATTTTTCCACCTAAGTCTCACTTTGGATTTGAAGATGGCGGCTGCATGAAATAAGAATATAGTTTAGCTCAGGGGTCGCAACCCAAATGTTAAGAGCCAATTTGTCCTTTCGAAAAAAATCGAACCACCAACATTTTATGTCCATTTTAACATCCTAACGGTAAACATGTCTCAGTTTGTGTTAATGTACTATGATAGTCAAAAAATGTATTATAAACAAAAATACAGACTTACTTTGCTCTGCTTTAAGCTTTAGCTCAGCTATAATTGCTTTTCTCGCATCTCTGGCAGGAAACTTTTCCGCAAAAGTAGAACAGTTTCTTGTAAAATGTTTCTCAGCGTTCGACTTTTTATGAGGCTGAAGTCGCTTCTCATTTGCCAGCTTCTTGTTCAAATTTTCCCGTTCCACCTTAAATGGTGCCTGAGATGCTAGAATATTACTGCTGCACCACTTAAGGTGGAACTGAAGCTGTATAAATAACAATAAATAAGAGGAATAAATAAGAATAAATAAGAAGCTTTTGAACGAAAAGCTGATATCAGTCTCGCGACTTTTTAGTGTTTACTAGCTAGGCGAGATTGCTGACTGTGTTGCTATGTAACCAGCAGTCTGTGCGCCAACCTTCAGGTGTAAAGGGTGAATTAGTCGATATAGGCTACATTAACTCCAGCATTTAAGACCATTTATTGTTAAACTGTGTTGAACGATCAGCAGAGCTTTATTTTACTGTAAAGGAGGATTATTTTATTTTTACCTACAAATCTGATTCTGCTATGGAGCCACAACAGAGCAGTAAAAGAGCCGCATGTTGCAGCTTTAGCTCTAGAAGATATCACTGGGCTTTTGATACAAGTGGTTACCAGTGGCTGTACGGGGCCTCTACTGTTCACAGCTGCGACCATTCAGCCAGAGTAAATGTAATGTAGGAAGATTGGCAGCCATGTTTGGGAAAAGACATCAGATTTGCATTCGAACTATCAACTGTATTCCAGACGTTAGAAGAAGCACCTTTGTTATCAACAAGTTTTCCCCGCAAACATGTATTCTTGTTATGAGATTGCAAAACTATTCATTACCACTACCACTATCTGCTGTGGTGAGAATGTTCCACCACCCAAATAGTATCTGGTGAGTGGTGGTCCTATGGAGGTCCCTTTCCAATGATAAATGGGCTAGAGGGAAGCTAAAAAACTGTGCAGCAACAGATGGGCTACAGTCTGTAATTGTATACCTACATGGTGGACATTTGCTAGGTGTATCTTACAAAATGGCCAGTGAGTAAGTGTACCGAGTGGTCAGTCAGTGTAGGATACTAAACGTAAGGATTTGGGTCAGAGAGGATGGTTGTAGAGCAAAGAAAACCCATAACTGTCTAAACCTGAATGTACATTTTGTTCAAACAGAACTGCTTTTCTGCCGCACCAACCGATGGTTCTCAACCTCTGGTAAGACTTACTTGCTAATTATGTACTCAAACATTGGTTTACTTCTTGGTTTACTCTCTGGTCATCCATCTCTAATACGTGTCCTGGTGTTCTTCACAGGTTTCCATGGAGCATGAAAACTCCTTTGAGGGTCGACTGAAGCTCTGCAAAGTCTTGAAGGCCTTCCAGATTCGTGCTGTCACCATCAACAGAGTGGTGAACCATGTCCTGACCACAGGTCAGGGAGTCGACGAATGATCGAAATGTGATTCGACGTAGTTGTGTGCTTAGTTATGTTACGTAGTTACGTAGTTACGGGCAATGTTTTTGTCATTTTGACAAGTACAAGTAAGCCTAATTGTTCTAGGTGTCATAATGCAAGGACTATTGTAATTGTATTTAAACCTATTTATTTAATATATTTATTGGTAAATTATTTGATGTTCTAAATGATCCATTGTTTCTCAAAATGCCAAGTGCTGAGTGTTCACCAAGTGTTTTGCCTTTAAAGAAATAAAAGTCACTCAATGCAAAAGTTATGACTGATAATTACACATTTTACCTCATTTGATGCAGTGGTCTTCAGCAGGATTGGCCAGGTGAAGCCTGGGGGTCTTAAATTATGTTTTGTCCAAATTACCCTTTCAGAAGCCAGACTTAAAGCAGAGTGAGTGTAAACGATACAACTTATAGGGTTAATAGGCGGGGTTAACTGTAAAAGACGGGGTGGCAAGTTATAACTGGTAAATTAATATAAACGCTATTAATTCATAGAAATCTATGCTGTTTGAACCAACTAAAATACATAAAAATAAACTTTTAAGTTAAAATAAAAGAGGCCTGTGTCTATTGTGGCAAATTTACATCTGCCTACAAAGTAGAATCGTCTCATTTATTTTGTATATATGACGATAAAGGGTCTTAAGCTTGAGAAATATCTGTCTCATTGTTGTCACTGATGATGAATATGACAAAAATCATGTTCTGCTTCAATTATTTAACTACATAAATTATCAATATTACAGTTTTACCCCATGTTAGGTTGTGCCCCACTCTCCCCTATATCTACTTGCAACAATTTTGGATATAAAGAGGTTTGAAATCAATAAAGCTGACATGTAAATCATTTAAAAAAACATTTTTATTTCTCTATTAAACGTGGTATTAACCCCTTAAAATCTCAGGCTTACATACTAAGGCTTATTATCCAGTGACTACAGGAAATTCAATGCAAATTGGCTGAGCTATTCACAGGTCATAGAGGTGTGTAATAAAACTTTGGGCCTGAACAAAACTTTTGGGTGGTGCAGTGGGTAGCACTGTCACCTCACAGCAAGAAAGGTCTGGGTTTAATTCCCCAGCTGGGTGAACAGGGTCCTGAGTTAACATCTCAAAATTATGACTTACTTTCTCATAATTATAAATTATTATCTCACAATAATGACATACCATATTATAATTATGACTTACAATCTTAAAATTATGAATTAGCATCTCATAAGCATGATTTTCTCATAATTTTGACTTAGTAGCTCACAATAATGAGATTCAATCTCACAATTATGACTTAATATCTCATAATTATGAGTTAGTATCTTGTAATGATGATTTACTATGTCAGAATTATGAGTCACTATCTCATAATTATGACTTAACATCTCAAAATTATGACTTACTTTCTCATAATAATGACTTACCATATCATAATGATGACTATGTCAGAATGATGACTTAACATCTCAAAAAATATTACTTACTTTCTCATAATTATGACTTATTATCTCATAATAATGACTTACCATGTCATAATTATGACTAGATATCTCATAATTATGAGTTAGTATCTCATAATGATGACTTAGAATGTCAGAATTATTGCTCGCTATCTCATAATTATGACTTACTTTCTCATAACTATGACTTAGTATCCCATAATTATGACTTACCATGTTATAATTATGACTTACGTTCTCATAAGTATGAGATGCTAAGTCATAATTATGAGATAGTAAGTCATTTTTATTAGATACTAAGTAATAATTGTGGCTTACTTTGTCAATTGTGACTTATGAGCATCTCATAATTATGACTTACTTTCTCATTATTATGATATACTAAGTAATTATTATGATATTAAGTCATAATGAGAAACTTTCTCGTCATTATGAGATACTAAGTCATAGTTATGAGACAGAATCTCATTATTAGGAGATGTTATGACATGAGATGCTATGTCATAATTATGGAAAGCCTTCTCATGATTATGACTTACTAAATGGCCATGGTCTTCTATATCCTCATAAGACCTGGTAATTCATTTTTGTCCTCTGTGGAGGACATGAGTCCCGAAAGGATATTTAAAAAACCATATAAGCCACAGTGCTGAAATCTGGTGCGCCATGTAGAGACATCCTGGCCTTTCCAGTGATATATCATTTGTTGGGGTCTGTCATTCACAACAGGAGTTCTGCCTTTTGAAAACGACTGCCATCTCAGAAACCACATTTTATGGGCGCAGGAGACGTAAAAAGAAAAATATACATTTATGATGTTTCTAAAGCCTGTAGTTGATATGTTTTAGGTAGAACAACATTTTAGCTAATTTTCAGAGCAGTTTTTTATTGATATGCACAAAAGTTTAACCACCTAACAGTATAGTTTGTTGATGTCCTCTGTGGTGGACACTGGAACTTATGAAATCTGTTTTTACATAAAAGTTTTGGTGTCACAGGTGACAGGAAATTGACTGAGGCAGAGAGAATTAAAGGATGATCACACCCCTCTTGATTTTTAAAACATTTAAAAACAAACTAATTCTCATCCCTCTCCATTTATACCTAAAATCTCTACCATGGAACAGTTTGCTGCTAGAGGACAACACCCAACACCTGACTGGGTGCCCTGGCATTACTTTGAGCAGTACATTGATCATGATGACACTGAACATTGATGACAAGGTTTTTGAAGTTGAAGCAGGATTTTGGTCTGATGCAGTATACACCGATCAGGCATAACATTCTGACCACCTCCTTGTTTCTACGCTCAGTGTCCATTTTATCAGCTCCACTTACTATATAGGTGGACTTTGTAGTTCTATGATTACAGACTGTAGTCCATCTGTTTCTCTGCATACTTTGTTAGCCCCCTTTTACACTGTTCTTCAGTGGTCAGGACCCCCATGGACCCTCACAGAGCAGGTACTATTTGGGTGGTGGATCATTCTCAGCACTGCAGTAACACTGACGTGGTGGTGGTGTGTTAGTGTGTGTTGTGCTGGAACAATTGGATCAGACACAGCAGTGCTGCTGGAGTTTTTAAACACTGTGTCCACTCACTGTCCACTCTATTAGACACTCCTACCTTGTCAGTCCACCTTGTAGATGTAAAGTCAGAGACGATAGCTCATCTGCTGCTGTACGGTTTGTGTTGGTCATCCTCTAGTCCTTCATCAGTGGTCACAGGACGCTGTTGGCTGGATATTTTTGGTTGGTGGACTATTCTCAGTCCAGCAGTGACACTGAGGTGTTTAAAACTCCTGCTGAGAATGACCCACCACCCAAATAGTACCTGCTCTGTGAGGGTCCATGGGGGTCCTGACCACTGAAGAACAGGGTAAAAGGGGGCTAACAAAGTATCAGAGAAAAATATGGACTACAGTCTGTAACTGTAGAACTACAAAGTGCACCTATATAGTAAGTGGAGCTGATAAAATGGACAATGAGCGCAGAAACAAGGTCATAATGTTATGCCTGAGGGGTGTAGAAAAGAAGAAATTGGAAAAAAATCACTGTGACAAGTTTTTTTTCAGCCAACAGACTTATTTTATCTTAAAATTGCTAAAATTCCCAAACTAATTTGGTCCGGGTCAGGATACTGAACGAGTGCCGCTGCGCAGAAGCGAGGTCTTGTTTGTCTAGATGAGCGGATGAACTCGTCCCTCCTCGCCGCAGTTGTGTTTCCTCCTTCGATGCTAACGCCTGAATGAAACCATGCAGTCGGCTTTCCTCAGCGTCGCTTTGCTTTCATTCGCACCACTTTTCATTCTAACACAACTCGGAGGAGTTTCCGCCGACGGACCGGGGAAAGGTAACGTAAAAAGCGTTTAAGGGGTTGTTTGACTTTAGCCGGGAAGCTAGTTAGCCGGTTAGCTACCGGTACATTTTGGCTGCTAGGCAACGGCTAACCTGTTAGCTTTAGCATAATACATTTTCTAACCAAATAAGTCGAATACAAAGCACTTAAAATGCTAGTTATGCATTAATTGGACACGTCTTATTCTAAAATAGTAAATATGGGGTTTCCAGCCTGGATAATAACGGATTAATTTGATTTTTCTGTCGCCGCCGTCGCGAATAAGCGAGCTAACGGCTACCCCAGCTCCGCTGATAAACAGCTGGTTCACCTAAAGTAGGACACCTGCTTTGCTTTCCTGTGTTATTAAAAGATAATGCAATAATTATATATTTCCAGTGCGGTTGTACACACCTCATTTGTGCCTATAAAAGCAATAGAAATCATACGATAACGGGTTAACTTTAATCTACTGCCTTCTCATTGAACCTTTGCTCAGGTTAGGTCACCGTTTCTGCTTTCTGCTAATTCGAGTGTCCGATTATTTTCTGCACTTTGACTCGTTTTTTAATAGGATTTGGCGACCACATCCACTGGAGAGGTCTGGAGGATGGGAAGAAAGAGGCTGAAGCAAGGTAGGGGTCAGCTTTTAAGTTGCTTAAAGGAGAATTCCACCGTTTTTTCCAATTTTTTTGCACAGTTTAATCACGTAGTTGTAAACAAACTCAGAGTGGTTTGATGTGAAATGGCTCCTGTGGAGAAACTTGATCAGATTTCTTTACAGTGGTGGTGGTAAGAACCAGGAGTCACCATGTCTACAACACAAATATAGACGTTTTGTTTATCATCCAAAACCACCAGTGAACCTCCACGCGTCTTCTGAGTTTATGTATGTAATGCTGATGATGGTAAATTAGTGGAAAATCTGAAAATATGTTTTCTTTGGGGGCTGTTTTGCTTTACAACACCCTGCATGTATCCCTCCACCATGAATGGATATAAATAACTGGATTAATTAGATGTTTTTGGCCAAAACTTCATCACAAAACTGGTAAAACAGTGTCTCAGAGAGGCAGCATATGCATAGCCGTGTCATATGCTCCTGACTTTCTGTGAGGGAGCTTTTAGAGGGGGACGTCTGGTTCCTGTCACCACCACTGTGAACAGTTCTGACTCAATATGCTCCT